CATTACACACATAGTATTAACATGAATAAACAATTAAATATGTAGGCAGGTGCTGGGCCCGAATAGCGGGCACAACGTGGTAATTTATTATTGGTTTATTATTGGGCCTAAAAGTCCCCAATATGGACCAATGATAAATCAACCTGAAATTGTGTGGTTCCCGAAAGGCGGGAACACTGTCGTATTTATTACGATTAAAATCTTCGTAATTAGTACGAATTAAAACAAAAATAAAAATCAGAGTTAAATTTACTTAACACCTAATACTTGGGCTTGAGTCTTCCTCGAGCGCGCGTGTAAGCTATTGACGGTACGTTCTAGCCCCGTTACACGCACAGTTAGTCTATGTTTGGTGTTTAGCAAACCAAGGCATGCCTAGGATGAGATTATACGGACTGTCCATACCTAGTACTGTAAACTTCTCTTTACAAGAGAAGTCACTGAAGCGAATGGCTAGTTCAACTTGAACTCCCTCCGATTTTGCGAGCGCGCCGTTCGCTAAACGAACGATCACCTCTTCTCACTTGCCATCCTGGCAAAGCAACTCGTAACTTTCCGGACTCTTTTTCAAAGCCGCAAGTCTTACAAGATTTTGTGATGCACCCGAATCAACGAGGAGGGTCATCACTTGTTTATAGCCTCGAACTCGAGCTCTTTAGACCAAAAAGGATTGGAGTCCGACCTTTTGGTGCCTCAGGGACTATGCTACCTATTTGTTGATAACTCAGAACATAGGGGCAGCTCCAGGGTTCGCGACAGTACGGCATCTGGCCCCTACTGCACCCCCACATTTCTCAACCCGTCTTATACAGGTGTTGAACCCGTGCGTCGTGCACGCTGGTTTTTTGCACGTCCCTTTGGGTAGGGAGCTTGGTCGCCTTAGCACATACAGCAAGTTTGGCATAGCAGCAAGCCATCATATGGACGCGCTTGCCGCATTGTAGCAGACCACGTCTGCATTGCCTAACTCCATTAAAGTGGCATTCGACTTCTAGGCCGATGGTTTATAAAATGCTCTCGCAGAGGCACTGTTGTAGAATTGCTCCTCCACCATGACAATATCAATTTCCTCCTCCATCGTCTTTGGCACCTTTCTAAAAAGGACCTGACGCGATGGCCGTGTCGTAGTCCGTTCATGAATGTAGTCACCTTAATGTGTTCCGTTCTCGGACCCACACTAATGGACGCAGACAGCGAACGAAACTCCTGCACAAATTCTTGTAAAGATTGTTACACCTGTCGTGCTCCAAAGAAGCGCGCCATAAGCAACACTTCGTTGTTAGGCGGCTGATACATGGCGCGAATCTTTGTTTTAAAGATCACCCATGATGGAAATGCATCAGCATTTGCCATCAGCGCAGAGTATGCCTACTCTGACGCTTTGCCAAGCAAGTTGGACATGGCATACGACACCATTCTGGTGTCGTCTTCGATGAGCTGCGCCACTCCACATTGCTCCACTGCTAATAGCCAGTGAACAATCGCGTGAGGGATAGTTCCATCGAACTTCGGAGGGTCCATCCGAATGGGCCTCGGTTGAGTAGGCCGGGCAGAGAGCGTCTCAACAGTTCTGTTGAGCGCCTCATTCCGTGCCTGCTCAAGCCTAAGCTCATCCTGAGTCTTATTGATGGACGCAGCCGTGGCTTAGCTGTTTACCTCGGACGCATTTCTACGCTGTCCGAGCACAAACGCCTCAAATTTCTCCAAGTGAGCAACATGCTGCTCAGGAGGACAATTTAAGAGGTTGTCCAGGTCTTGTTCACCACGTCCCTGCGCCAAATGCTCTACCACCTCTCTATGATGTTGGGAGAGGTGAGGAAATTCACCCCGATCCACGTTGAGGGACCACCGTATCCACACGCACGCTCAGAGAGATGGGTACTACTATCGCTACCAAGTGTAAACGGGCGCTTCGTAAGAAGCTGCCACGTACTACGCGGGCACACCTTCAAGCAGCGCGAGGAAGCGGTTAGATCGTCTTACCTTCGCGTGCAGTGGTGGTGGTGTTGGTTGGCCGCTTAAAGCGCCGACCACACCAACTGTTGCCTGCCGCTTAAAACGATCCGCGCAGCGAACAACTATAAATTGCCTTACTTACGTCACGCAGAAGCTTATTCAGCTTCTCTTGCGCAGTGGAAGGTAATTAGTAAATTCAAGACTGACTTACATTTAATAGAAATTAACTAAATTTACATCTAACTACTGATTGGTCAAATATAAAAGATCGGATACGCGTCTTTTTAGAAGTGTATCCCTACGTGCGAGCTTCAAAATATGTGTAAGGTTGCTGATGACGTCTGTATGAAGCGTCACCATGACGCCCAATTCCAATTGGCGTCATCCTCGTTGAATGTGAATCCGTTCATAAATAACACATTCATGAGGGTGTGTAATGGGGCACCCTCCGACTATACTGATAACAGTATAGTCTACCTTCACTGATGACAGTGAAAACAGGTGCCTCAAAACATCTCTTACACAAGAGGCAGAGGAATCTTTACTTCGAAACGACACGCTTAGAAGTAGAGGGAAAGAGAACTGTATTTAATATATAGTTAACTATCATAATAAAACTAATCTGTTATAACCTATATTAACTATATTAAAGTACAACTATGTATGTTGACAACTTGCCCTCCACTCATTGCGCGAGTCCATCGGTCATTGGTCAGCGCGTTGGTTGATATGATGGCCCATATCAACCAATGAGAGGGCATCTCCAACTTCAAGGAGATCTAGGAACAATATTATATGAAAAGATAATATTGTCAAATATTATTAGTTATAATAATACTTGTATTGACACTTCATATAAGTGTCAAAATTATGTCCCGGGCTCACTCCGTTACAGGGTGGGTCACATTGATGTGCCTCACCCTCTGTGCTGCAACTATCTCGATATAGATGGTTGCTAGTCAACTTGTCTACTACCTACTTGCACTGACCATCCATGATCAGATGACGGCTGGCGATAATTGCGAATAACGATCTATAACCTTGACTTCCAATACAGACCACTATGTCCGGCCATCGGTACAGCTGGGGGCACTCGAAATGGAAGCTAATTGTAGGCAACAAGCATCAAACTATGGCATTGATAGCACATGGTGCATAGCTCGACCAATTTGTTCAGATACCGGCCAACAGACGCCTTTCGGCAGAAGACAATATGTTATTCCTCCATTCCAATGACACCATGGACTACTGACCTATCGCACATCTTCAAACTCAATACTAGGTCTTTACAAAAGTAATTGCGACGCGAGCGCGACGAGTATCAGGGTCACCTACTTGTGGCAAGACTTCGTCCATGGGAGACAGATGCGCAAAACAGTAAAGATAATGCTGGCTCTACTGGCAACAGCCAAGGCCGAACCGGAGCTAGCAGCTCTGCACAGTCGGGCCATCCTCTTCTCGACGTTCGGAAAGTGTACAACACGGTCGCGCGGGGCAGAGCAACAGCTAAGGACCTCCTTTGACGTCATCTACCAGCGCGGAAGCCAGCCGCCATTACATTGGTCCAGCGCTTTTGTATACGCCCAAACACGCGGGGGGAGCCGGGCTGGCCTCCATACTGATTGCATGCAACATTGCAGCGGATGAAACACGCCATACTCTGGCTCACCCAACGCATATACATTTCTTCGTTTTTTGGCTGACAGACATAGGCTTTACGTTAAGCAAAGCAGAAATGGACAGTAGGAGTGTCTCCGCGCCAAGAAAGGAGGCGGCAGCTCTCCAAGTATCGCAGGACCTGGAAACACTTTCCAGCAGATGATCGGACCCTTGCAATTACCAACACTGCCAATCCTTGAGGGTTAGACAGCAGCAGTATAACGAAGCTCGAAAGGCTGACAATTAGCTGGACGACACTGGATAAATGGGTGGTGGAGCTCAATCGACCACTCCTTCACTCATCCGGGTATTTTTAGCGAAGGAAGCATTCTAGCCCGCGTACTTTTGGGCTGACAGTCCTTGCTTTGTGGATCGACAGGGAAACATTTTAACACCATGAAAGTATGACAAGATGTAGACCTGCACCCTAGCGGACGGCAAGTGCATCAAATTGGGGATCGAGCTTACTCCTTCGTCATTCCGACGATAGGCGCGACCACGCATTAACAAGCCAAGCTGCGACGCCGTGGCCTAGCGAATTTCTGCTGAGCGCACCGAGCTTACCTGTTGGTGGAGGGCTTCAAGTATGAAAAGACTTAATAGCGAACGCTCCTTTTAGCGACCGTGAGACGCAGCAATGTACAGTACTCGAACCTTGGCATTGATAACCGAAATCAATGGGACCTTTAACGTGACCTCCCGAAAACAGGTAAAATTCAACTCATATAGCAAGAAAGGGATTTTTTGAGAGCTAAACCTAGGCTGCATCTCGTTTAATGTAGGATGAATGAAAACGATAGATCTTATGTGATTTTGGGGTCATGAATCACCAATCTTTGCCTAGTCATTTTTTAAAAGTACTGTTCCTCTTGAATAGGGTCGTACAACTGCAGATTGAACGTTACCAGGTTACAGTTACCCACAGTTTTTACATGCATATTCGTGTCGTGAAATCTGCGAATGATAGACGACCAGAGAGTTGAGCCATGATCTGCTAGCTTCTAATTACTCAATGCCCAAATGGCTTCCACCTACGACGCAACAAATGCAGCAGTGTGATAACCAACCAACGATACTACAACAACACAAGCATCATTGTCATTCAATTCCCGCCTAGCTTTTTGCATCAGCTCTGTCCAGTATAGTTTAAGGGTCATCCGACTTGTCGAAACACCGTTATATGCCGCACGAATAGCAAGTAACGAACGAACAAAATGCACAACGAAGCAAAAGGTAAAGGGTAAACACGTTTCATGGACGTTAACTGGAGCAAGTGAGCCGTCGCATATTCTAAGCAAGTGATCCACGTCGCAATTTGTCGCAGTTCTGCAGTCGATCCTCTCTAGTCAATTCTTTCAGTTTGAGTTTATATGAAGTCAAAAGCAATGACTCGAATTCCTATGCGGCGGGGTCCATCACCATGGACGCGCTCACGTCGACTCATGAACAGCGCCAGCAATTCAAATGTTGTTGACATGGAAAATTATCAGGGTACAATCTACTTCGCTGACATTATAGTGGGCGGTTCAACATTTGTGGTGCTGGTGGACACAGGCTCATCCGACTTGTGGATCTCGTGCCACGACCTCAATGGTTCCTCATGTAAGTCTACGTGTCCGTCAAATGCCAAGATTATCACATACGGTTCTGGTGACGTCTGTGTGTTACAAACGTCCGCTGACATTGAGTTTGGCAACATCGCCGTGTCCAATTACGCCGTGGGGGTGGCACAGGGCCCTAATGTGAACCGCAACAGCTCCAGTTCGCTGCTTGCAGGTGGCGCTGAAGGGCTTTTTGGATTAGCTTATAGCGCACTGGCTACACTTCCGTCGCCTGGCGGACAGTTCATTGACTACGTGAGGAGCTTTTCCATGTATCTGACCCAAGTAGACAACACGGAAGGTAGCTTCTTACTACTCAACGGCGTGGACGACGCACTCATCTCTGCGAACGGCCTTGCACCGTACACTGTCATGTTGAAATCGGCCACACCGACTCATTGGACAATTGGCATGACGGCATTGCAGATTGGCAACGATACGGCGGTATTTCCGTGCTCTACAGCAAGTAAAGGGAGTTGTGATAGTATTGTAGATTCCGGTACTTCATTACTGTCGATGCCGACTTCGGTCCATGCGGATTTTGTAAGCACCTACTTGTCTGGCTGCACATTGTACTCATCGGGCTCCGAAATTTACATCTGCTCTAGCGATGTGAAGCTGCCGCGACTTGCACTTACGTTTGGAGACGTGACATTCTATCTCGAAAAAGAAGACTACATTCTTGATTTAGGGGGCAATATGGTCGTGGTGGAAGTACAAGCGACGTCAAGTAATGGCTCATATGATAACACTTGGATCATCGGCCAAACGTTTTTGAAAATGTTCTATACGAAGTACAGCGTTAACGAGTCGGTGACATTCTACTGCGTCGACAACAGCACGTGTACTGCTGGGTCTCAAGCAACCCCCTTGCCAGCATCATCGGATTCATCTGGTGACAACACTGGCGGCAACGGCTTTGGTCGCAACAACGTTCCCGGTATAACATATAGTGGCAACGACAACAGCAACCTCACGATGATCCTGGGCATTGTACTGGGCATACTGGCCTTCTTATTTATCATATCGATCGTGGTACAGCTATTCCGATACATCTGCAGTCGCAGACGTGCCTCTCAGCATGAGCAATCGATACAGTCAGTTAGGGTCGTACCTGATGGCTACAACCAGCAGCAGCCCGCCGATCAGCCTACCCAAGGATATTACATCCAGTATTGAGACGCAACGATTCTGCTTTAACAAGTGACCTGAAGGTTTGAATCGCATAAAGTATCGTGAGCTCACAAACAAACAACACGAGGACCGTGTAGGTCCGTAAACTTTTGAATGTACTAGTCCCCACGTTAAAGTTTTGAGCTCAAGCATGTTTGAAACCAAGCTGGCAATGAGTGCGACATTGTCATTTAGTTTTCCTCAGTAGATCTACTAATGACTGCATGATACAATCTTTCTAACATACAACTAGAACAACATTGCGATCGCCATTTAATGAAGAAAGTTAGGCTTAGCTGCAATAACTCCACTGATATCGGCACATATGATGCCTGACGCTTGAATTTCCAGCAACAAGTTATGATCGACTAATTCTTGATACAAATACAGGTAAATCCTATGGTTCTCACTCCTTAATGAGGATTGGTTCAGTCAAACCGGCAAGAATAACGAGACCTCATGCCACCACCCATTTTCGCTCACCTTCATTCATCTCCACTTGTCGTTCGTCACCAATCAGATTCCAATTGGCGCAATCTCAGTTTTCATTCTGGTGTGAATGGATCATTAAATGGCTATGAGGCAGTCGAGCTCATCGACGTGAAAGCAGAGCGTCGACTGTTGCTACAAACTCTGCGCGAGTCGGGACGCCATTTGTCGTGGCAGTCTGAGGTCGCTGAAGTGCACACGTTTCGGAAAATATTATCGTTTGGATGTCGCGTTTTGCACTTTTCAGGCCACGGTGTCCCGGGTCAAGTGATCTTCGAGACACGTAGAGGTGAAGCGCAATTTGTTTCTCAGCAGGAATTACAGGATCTGATACTCGCGGGTGGCGCAGACGACCGGTGCTTGTCAACACGTCAACGCAACCGACGACAAGAGATTACGGAATTGTGTGACGAACGCTCTTTTCGTTCTCGTTCAGATTCGACTTCGAGTGATAGTGACGATGCCACGTCAGGACTTTCCATCACAAGCCACAGAGTGGAGTTGGATCGAATGGCCTTGACAGCACCTCGAATGCAACATGAGAAGCATAATGTGCCTTTAAAGCTCGTCTTTTTAAGTGCATGTCACTCGGAGAGTGTTGCTGAAGCTTTCGTGAGGGCTGAAGTGCCCCATGTTGTGGTCGTGTCAAAAGAAAAGAAAGTGCTGGATCGCAAGGCTATGGAGTTTGCTAAAGCCTTTTATACTGCATTGTTTGCAGGTCATGCTGTTGCAAAAAGCTTTGAAATTGGAAGAGTGCAAGCAGATATTGTTGTTGCTAGTAATGGAGACAATGCGGTGGATGGAGGTAGATCTGAATTTAAGCTGCTAGGAGATGGAGATCATAATGATGCGCCATTTAGAGATGTACCAGCGGGTGACTTAATTGAGACGGATATGGACGGGCGACGTGGAGGAAACGTGACAAGGAACGAATGTGACGCAATTGCGGAGGTCTTCGTGGGAAGGTCAATGGAGGTGCATCAAGTGTACAAGGCGCTGGTGGAAGGAGCGCGACTAGTGAGTATTACTGGTGAGCGAGGAATTGGCAAGACGGAGGTGGCATTGCAATGTGCGCAGTATGCCACCGAGCGTCGAGTATTTAGCCACATATTTTATCTGCGACTGAATACGGGCAACGACGGCAAAGATGCAAGCGATGACTTGTGCAAGCAGCATGCTGAACTCGAGTTGCCATTGCTTGTTTCAAAGTTTGCAAAATGTTTGGGCCTTCAAGCGATATCTCTTGATCAGCTAGCAGAGCTAGCTCGGCAGCGATGCGAAATTGAAAACCAGGGCGATGGAAGTAGTTTCCTATTGATTTTAGACGGTTGCAATCGAGTCGAGCGACAGAATTCGTGCTTTCGCACGATTGTTGCAATGCTGTTGCGTCGTGTAAACTCGCTGGCGTTACTCCTGACAGGTGACGGAAGGTTTGGTGCGCTAGACGGTGTGGGTGAAAAGATCATTTCAATTGGCCCACTTCCGCTGGCTGATGCGGCATTGCTCTTTACTCTGCGTGCGCCAAGGAAAATCAAAGCTCATGAAATGGGTAGCAGCACCGATCTTAAAACATTTGGCGAACACCCGATCATCAAAAGCTTGCAGGGTCACCCTCGGACTATCTGCGCGGTACGTTAGTCTTCGTGTATTCCTAGTCTTGGCAAGGCATCTTATATTTGCTCGTGTACGGCTCAGGTTTCTCAATTTTTAGAGAAAAAGGATATGGAATTAGACCAAGACGAGTTTTTAAGCTACATAATTCCGTCGGTGAACACAGGGCTCTGTATGAGCACGGTTGGAGATTCCGCGACGCTTGATTGCGGCTTGGATTCGCGTCAACGGCTGCATGAACAAAAGAAGCTAGCTTTAGCGTCAAACAATACGGAAGGATGTTATTCGCATTCCCATGAACATCATTATCATCACCGCCAACATGATGGTATGCCATCTTGTATTGTTGAGGAGGCAAGAGATCAGCATCGGCTGGATAGTGTCCAAAAAACTGTAATACGCCGGATGAAGCCTGTTGCTTCTCAATCAGATGTGGTGACAGCCAAGTCATTGTTGAAAGTACCATCGACCCAGAAAATGACCAGTGATGACATCGAAAACCAAGGCATCGATTTTCCACCACCTCATGTCCATCCACTGATATCGGCACGAAGCGTACCAAGTCCTACTGGTTCAATTACAGCTCCGACTACGTCACTTCAACAGCAGTGCCTCCTCCAGGTAGCTGAGTATGTGAGACCGGTCATCCAAAGTGAGGGAGGTAGCTTGGTATGGGCACGAGCCGTGGTCATCCGAACGACTTTTTCTAATCATCTCAACTTCGAGGGTAGATTAAAAAGTGGATACCTAGCGGCAATGGTGCATCAATTGCAAGGGCTACAGGACATTCCTTTGGATTGGATAGCTCCGCAAGTAAGCTACTTCTTTGCAACCAAGTTGAAAGGCGATGCCGCCAAACGGCCATTGTCTACCCGGAGCATTGACTTTTTAAGTAAAAGCTCACTCATTTGGGGTCACAAGTCTACTGCACCAGCACAACGTGGTGGTGCAGTAACTCTTCACATGTTTGCAGCTTTTTGGGCATGGTTTCGGCCGCTAGTTGATTGCATTTTGCATTCAACCTTATGGCCACACACGGAACCGCGGCTGCTTCATGGGTTGTTGTCAAAGGGTGACTGCATTCGTATGCTCGAGCGTGCACCATCGGGAACATTTCTATTGCGTTTTAGCGAGACCCGTATTCGTTGTCTCGTGATTGCCTACGTGCGAGAAGATTTGTGCGTGCAGTTTGTGCCTGTAACGTGGCACCCTGAGCGCAATGGCTGGTTTGTTGCATTACAAGCGGAAGTGAGAAAGACTGATGATTCGGAAAACAATGGGGTGACATTTTCGACGCTACAAGAATTAATCTTGAGTGTCAACGTCCTCAAGTTTCTCTTTCCTCAAACACCCAAAGGAGTAGCCTTCACATTGGAACGCCAAATGCGACAGGAACCTGAAGCTTCTTGACTAGATTTCAATATACAATGGACACTCAAATCGTCCGTCTACTTTGAGTCCAGTCAAAAGTGTCAGCGCTTTTCACATACTCTGGATACGAATATTCTGCGACTATTCTAATTTAGAGGGAATGATAAGTCGCTACGTCTCCCCTATTTTCGAATATAGTGTTCCAGACGATCATTCATGCCTCTTAAAGATGACGATGAGTTGATTGTTGCGACGATTAATAGTCTTCATTCGAATACAAGTGAAGACGAGTTTCGTACGGCTCTTAATCAACATTCCGCCAAATCACTTCGTAAAGCGTGTGCAAATTTGTGTCTTGGAGCTCGAAGTCGTCGCTGTGCTTATGACAATAAAAATGGCTACATGAAATTACTATGGGAACGCTACAAACGGGATGGAATGCAGGGATTCAGTGGACTTTTACAAGACAGTGATTCTCGTCTAAAGGGTCCTGGTATCACGACCATTTGTCGACCTAATCCACTTTTAAGTCGTCCTGATTCTCACGAGTTTGTACCAGAATTACGACTTCGTACAACGAGTCAGAGCCAGAATAACACCATACTCGAGCCACTATTGCAGTCTTTAAGTGGCACGCAGGCTCGAAAACGTCGTCGTGTGGCTACAGATGATGGTGTTTTTGAGTTTGTCGAGCACAATCTAGAGGACGACGTGACCGAGAGTAAATGTGAGAGTGAAAAGACCCCAAAAGATAAGAGTTATGACGCGGTGGTACATTCGTCTGCTGCGGTGCGTTCGGCGATGGCTACACTTAACGAGTTGAAGCAAAATCACGCGAGTGAGTGTCTAGTCAAAGCAGCAGAACTCGTGTTTGACAGACTCGTCTTGAGCTGGACACGGACAATGGAAGAGGCAAGCAAGATGTGATCAGGACTTCGTCACACTTATTGATCAGGTCTCTTTTGGTTTCTATAGCTCAGCTTCTGTTGCTAATTCTTTTAGCGTGAAACACTCGAACGCATGCGTTCTTATCTTGAGTGATTGATGAAGAGCTCAGTTGACGAGCTTAGCAAATGTCTGCTGAGGTCCCCTTACTGTCAAGGAACGAGAATGATGCTTGCAGTTGTTATCTTATGATTTACAAGTAAACAGCAAAAAAGTGCTGCATGTGTGGCAAGGTGCTTATTTACTGATCTGTAAAACTTCGGATAGGCAAATGTCCAGTAGGTAGGCTGTCAGCCCCCAAATAACGTGCGGGCCACCCGTAAAGACCGGGGTAGCGTTACTGTGACGAATCCAATTGTCCTGGTTCATAAGGTCACGCACCGACACGGTGAAGAGGGACTCTACTTCAGCTTCGTTAATGGCCACAGTCTGATCGCTCATCTCGCCGATATAGCCTACTACTGGCGTAACAGCAATGCCTGTAATCGACGTGACACTGGACCAGTCACAGCGAAGAACGCCTAGGACATCTACACCGGTAGGTGCAAGCCCAACCTCCTCGCTCATCTCGCGAAGACACGTGCCTTCGATACACGAGTCATTGGCGTCCACCATGCCTCCTGGAAAGCAAACTTCGCCCTTGTGTTTGCCAACAGTGAGTGAACGCAATGTAAAGAGTATAGATGGCTCGCCTTGAAAACGACAAAGCGGAATGACGACTGCTGCTCGTGCCGAGTATGCCTTAGTAATCTGACGTGGCAGTCGGCTTAGTCGCTTGCGGATGCGTTCAAGGTGGCGTTGTCCAAATGCCTTTGCAAGTGGTGTTTGCCTCTGTACATTCATCTCATGTTGATCAAAGTCTGCAAGAAAAGAGCACGATTAGTTATAATGCGTCTACACTAAGCGACCAAGACTTTGCTTACCGTGATATGGCTTGAGCACAGCTTCAAGCTGGTCCAATTTGCCTTCACTCAGTAGCTCAGCACAGAGCCACAATGTATATTCACGGTCTTGATACGCAGCAGCAAGTGCCGGTGCTGTGTAATTGTTGACTAAAAAACTGGCATCCATTCTCGGCTTTTCAAACTCACGTGAGAACGAGTTCGTGTCTTCAACTTCTTGTTTCTGATCATGATGTTCTTGCTTTAGTGTCCAATCAACCTCACTGCCTTCTCCTTTTGTATTATCACAATGGCTCCGACTGTGGTAATAACTGACGTTCAAGTGCTTTGACACACAAGAATAAGTCACTTGCGTTGTAAATTCGACTGTATGGAGACAAGAGATTGATGAAAATACACGACATAACCGTGTCTTTAGTAGTGGTGTACTGTGACTTGAGACATTCATCAACATGTTTCTAATTCGTTGCATAATGACTCCAAGGTCTGCTTGGGATATAGTAAAGTATCAAGTAAATGGCAGTCAGAAGTAGGACAGTGGTCATTCCTAGCTCTTTTACAGCCAATTAGCACGTGTAGATTGTTAGAAACGAGTAGTGATTGGCTCGATTTGATACGAAACCAAACTTTAGAATGTCTGTGCGCCATGTCACATGCTCAGAAAAAGTGTATATACGTTAAGCAATGGATACCAACGAGTCGATTTTGCACGATTTGATTGCATTCAAATCTTCGATACATTGTAAACTAGTAGGCTCATCAAAGGATGCAGGAAGCACTGACGACCCGTTAGTATGTTATTGAACCGAAAGCGAGCACTGGGACATATTCTCGTTTAGGTTGCCTCACATGACGGTACAAATAAAGAGCTATTGTACTTGGTGAGACGTCTTTAAAAACTGCCCTAATGGCACGTTCTTCTACAAGTACAATCATGTTCCCAATGTGAGACCAATGCAGGGTAATGTATTATAAAGTCTTTTCACTTTCATATGTCTAAATGAAGACTTCTTGCTTACTCATTGCTTAGACTATAATACTGCTACCCTACAGAGGACGTACAAATTAGATACGACCTGAATCTTTAGACGTCACACGATTTCGACTGGTAATTAAAAGTATCGTTACAGTAATAAATTACTATGCGTCTAGTGCTGAAATTGAATTGCAAATATCTACCTTTAACACACCAACAATATCATATCCCTTTGCTATTGCTATTACTATTACTACTACTTCATCTACTACTACCTATACAATATCCACTATGTTATTCTTATATCTACCTGAATCAGGCTTGAATGGCTACTTTTCGAATTGGTGTCAACCATCAATTATTCAACTGTTCGATCTTCCTCTAGAGTCCTTTTAAAAATTAACCTGCCGTCGACCTCTAACATCTTTTCCATGCAACAATCAAGCAAAGTGCCGTTTAATAACGACATGGATCACCATATTCAACTTGTGGCGCTATCTGATGACGAACATGTCAATTGTAGTGTCCAACTCGAACAAAATACCGACAGTTTACGGCTTGATCATGAAGAAGAACGAGCCATTTCACTCTTTTCTATTAAAACGGAGCCAATGGCTTCACCTACTGCTTTAACGAGGTCGCAAATTAGTACATCACTTGACAGCCATCAATCGCCTGCTTCCGAGACACATTCGGACAACATTCCCATGACTCTCCTGCAAAATGATGAGAGTGTAGCCATTCAATCTGAGACGCATTCTGGTGTTTTAAGCTTGATACCCAAACGTCAGATTGCTGACTTGACTGGTAGTCCAAGAGCCCAAATTTCAAGATTACAAGAGCTTATACCACTTGAAGTACCAAGAAATGTCATTGTGGATCAATTGCAACAGAAAACTCAAGTAAAGAAACAAATTGGGAATCGACAAGTTCCAGTACAATCTCAAGTAAAACAAGGTCGGAAAAATGCTTTTTCTTTGTCTGAATCCATTGAGCTTATGAAAAAGTTGAAACTTGTCACACCGGACGAGTATGAAGATGCAGAACTTCATGGCGATTTCAAACACGTGATGTATATTTTAATTCCATCCAATGCTACAACTGCACTCCTAGAACGTCGTGGTCAGCCAATTCAAACCATTAGCCAGCAAACAGGTTGTACACTATCAGTACGTGAACCAGATGCGTCACCATTTAAAGATGATCGCTTGCTTCGCATTTATGGAAAACCCAAGTGCATCAGCTTAGCTCAACGACTTGTCATTGCGTACATTCGAGTATTTCGAGCGGAGAAAAAAGATCCGATTTATATGGATCTGTCAGACGAAACTTTACCGATTGCACTACCCGCAACATCTATTACAAAAGCCATGAGCGTCGCTGTCACTGCCGGAAAGAAAAGTGAGGTGGAAATTACAAATCCGTTTCGTTGGATGGTACAGCGTGAAGATGTTGGCAAAATGATGGGGAGGCAAGGATGCATCCTAGCATCGATCCGTCGTGACACGGGTGCATCGATCCGTATAGAAGATGACGTAGTTCCTGGTACCACGGAACGACGGGTGACTTTAAGTGGGTCTGTCGAATCTATTGCTGCTGCGGTCGAAAGAATTAAAAGCAAGTCTAACGGACGTCCTGAAGAAGCAGCAAGCGTGGTGAACGGTGGACACGGACAGTATTTTGCCATTCCGTACTATGCTGCAGGTTGCCTCATAGGTCCTCAAGGCTCTACTATCAAAAACATCACCGAGCGCACAGGCGCCCGACTACAAATTCCTTCAGCAGAGGACCTACCCTTGGGAAGTATAAACCGTATTCTCCATGTCCAAGGCACTTCCAAACAGACTGAGCACGCTCAACGAATCGTTCGTGCCAAGCTGCGAGACTTCTTGGTCTCTTCGACGAACCCAAAAAGTTTGAGTCTTTCCTCAACCGGTCTAAAAGGCGACAAAGTCACTATTAAGGTTCTCCTGTCGTCCAGAATTTGTGGATTTATGCTAGATCAACGAGGCAAGCTTATCCGTGAGATCTCCAAGAAGTCTGGTGCTCACACTCACTTCTTAGCCTCGCATAATGATGGCAACCGGGTTTGTGTTTTCACTGGCGATATGAGCTGTGTACTTCGCGCGCAACGTCTGGTTTTGCAGGTGATTGCAGGAGACGTTATTTCTTCAAAGCGGAACCGAAAGCGGAAACGTTTACATCGAGACGAAGAAAAAGTTGAAGAAAATGATAAACTTGTGGATGATAAACTGGTGGAGGAGGATATGAAAGACGAGAATCCTTATTACGAGGGCGACGTAGAAGAAGAAACCTGCTACGGTGACGAGGAGAAAGATGCCCTCGGATGCCCTGTCAGACGGAGAAATGAACGTCGGCAGCCAAATCGCCGTCTTCGACACGAATACGAAGAGAACGAAGAAGACATGTACATATATGATGACAGCACAGAGTATGAAGTGCGTCCACGCCAGCCGATACGCCGACAACCGGTAGTCGTTCGTTCCCGCGGGTATTTTGAGGATGAAAGCGGTGTTGATGATTATATTCTTGACGAGTATGATCGTAATGAACGTATAATGTACGATGTGCCTCGATCTCGGCCATCAATGAGACCGATAGTGGTGCGCCGACAGCCTGCTACCAGGCCTCGGGACGAGTACGACGACGAAGAGGATGACGACGAGTACGGCTATGAGGACGACAGCGATGGTTTGTATGAAAACGCAATTGTCGGGAAGCAAGTGGTAGAGCGACGACCGATTGGCATTAGGCAGCGTCGACCGATTGCATGTCTTGGCCGAAAAGTGCAAATGGTAGCCCCAAATTCACGTCCTCAAGAAGAACGATCTAGAACGAGCTCAACTACTCGACGTTGCACGGATGGTACTGGCAGTGCTCGTCTTAGATGCCGCAACGGGAGCGCAAACGTGCGTCATAGCGTCTCTCGGGGTGGAAATGGAGATGGTCGTCCAAGCACCAGACGCCGTCACGGAAATGGCAACACACGTCGTCAAAAGTGACGACGTGTGGACTGCAGCATAAGCATGTCTGATGAATGAGCCACTCACACGTGCAAACAACATATTAATCTCATCGCGGTTTCATCCATTACCGCCGCACTAGAAAATTAGCTGCAGTTGCTGCGGTGGCGCATGCAATGAAAGAAAGACCCAAATACAGAGGTGATGTGGGTGGTAACTCGATCGCGTCCCTTCCAAACATCTCGATGGGCAGTTCACGGATTCGCGGACATCCAGTATAACCAATTGCCGATAGCCGGGTGGCTTTCTTCCTGTCGCCCCAACACACGTGCACATGTGGATTGTTGAGGTTGTTATTGACATGACTGAGACGAGATAAAGCTGCGTGTACCGATGACGACGCGGTTATTTCTTGGTGCAGTACGCACCCAACTTGGTTTTCGTCGACAAGCATTGTGCGATGGCCACCCTCCCGCAAATCACATGCGCTCCCAATATCCTCTTTGACTGCTGTTGCAGTATCATTAATAGTCATAGATGGTTGATCGACCCAGCTCAGCTTCGAAGACAGTATCCGTCGCTCTTTCCCGTCCTTCGACAAAAGTTCCGATGCTTTTGTACTTGGTGCGATGGTCTTCACTAGCTGAAAGTTTGATGAGGTAGTTGGCTCGACATCACTTCCGCTTTCACTGTTGCTGTTATAACTAGCTGTTTCGGCTCTCGATGGCTCTCGGCTGCCAAGTGCTAACACATCGGCAGCAGTCATCGCAGGACTTCCTGCACACAACATTTTGCGTCTTCTGCCTCGCATCCGGCTCCCGTTTGGGCTAGCCTCAGACGAATGTTGACGACGAAGAACTCGATTTTCCAGACGCAAAACTTCATCTTCGCGCCTAGCGTCCTGCAGTAGCTGCTCGATGTCTTCAGATTCTCTCTCGCATGGTTCCACTTCGGCCTCATTGCTATCCCGTCCGACCTGTTGCTGTTGAAGAGCATGCTCCAGTTGTTTCTGTAGCTGCCTCAGCGTCTTTGTGATACGTTTCGTTACAGCCTGTGCACTCATTGTGCGATTCTCCGCTACCTGAAGCTGTGTTGCTGTGCGCGCCTTATCGTTTTCCAGCTTCTCAACAAGCTCGTCACGAGCTACCAAACGTGCCTGGAGGCCTTCATTTTCAGCTTTTAGTCTTCGAGCGGTACGGTGCAAGGTGTCTCGTACGGCCTGCACACTTTCAACCTCCTCTACTTGTTGCTCCAGCTGCAACGTCATGAACTCAAGGTCCTGTTGAGCGCGCACTGTTTCGAGACTCTGTTCTTTGTTTCGTTGTTGCAATTGTGTGATCTCCTCTGCGAGCTCTCGCTGTTGCTGCTGCTCACGTTCGCGAGCAAGTTCCAGCTCCAAGCATCGCCGTCTGAGTTCGTCAATGCACTGGTCAAGTTGTGTCACTTCGACTTCTCTAGACGAGCACCATTTACACGAGTCTGGTCTACCGAAGCTTTCGCGTGAGGTAAGTGATGATCGTCGTTGCTGCTGAGTGCTTAGCATGTTCTGTCGTCCCGCCGAGTCCCAAAAATCGTACACTGCATTGTAGCGCTGCATCTCGGTCTCCAAAGCTGCATTTTGGTCCCGAAGTCGCTGCGAATCTCGTACCGCCTGGTCTCGCTCAATTTGAGCAGCTTTCAATTCATCGTGTACGACGTCAAGCTCTTCCCGCGCAGCACCGAGTTCTTCCAGCAATGCGTTGCCTGCATTAGCAGCCAAGCGTAGATTATCCTGCTCGCCTGCAAGTTCCATCAGCACCCGGGCCAATTTGGTCTCCAGTAGTCGTTCTCTTGCTGACGAGACTCCATCTTCTTCAACTTCAATGTTCGTGCTGAGGTCTTTGGCATCTCTCGTGCAAAGAAGACTTGCTATCGGCTCGACTACAATATCTTCATTGAGACAAACGCTCGAACCGCGACGATTGTCGTCAACTACGAACAAGTCGACAATCAGCTGACGCACATGATCGAGCATTGCGTCTGTTCCCGTCTCTACTCGTTCGTGTTCATCGACGTCACTGGCGTCGTCGCTTCGGTCTCCGCTCATGAAATACAGTCGACTGCCGTGACTGCTGCTGCTCGTGGTCGGTGACGCCAATACCGACTGACTTGGACTCGTGCACGCCATTCAGCACCTCGGTGGAGACTAAAATGCTGCGATTTCAAAACTAGATGGAAGAGAATCACAGCAATATGGTGGTGGATGATTGGCAAATGTCTTCAATTGGGGTCTGGTTTGGCTTGGTCTTTTCGTGTGGTGTCGGTTGTTGGGAAAAAGCCGTTGGACCGTGTCTCGAATTGCGTATGTAACGCCTTTAGATGAGCTCTTCGCGACTTGGGATAAAGTGCCCTTTTTAAGGGTAGAGTCGGCAGTGGAATTGCCTAATGTGAAGATGTGCAGTTGTCGCTTGATCGTGGACTGTGTCAGGGTGGTAAGAGCTGACGCACTACAATTTGCTTGCTGATTTTACACATCAATCGACACCGAACTCAAAAAGTTGTCGTCTGGACGCGAACCAAAAGTCGGCCTTTTGCGTAACGTTTGAAAGTGGACGTTTGGAAACGAATGAAATACGATTGCAAGATCTGTCCAAGATACCAAGTACATGCGTGTATGTCGCTGTCAACGTGCGGGTGAGGCTACAGCAGTACAGGACGGATCAGTTCCTGCGACCACTAAAGGACTGCAAAGCTGAATCAAAAGCCTTGGCGATGCTAAAGAGAATGAGGTCGTTCTCAACCCTCTGACTCACGCACAAAGTCACAGCTAGAGGACATCTTTGGAGGCACTGCGGTGCAGTAAACACTGATCGGTTCAATCGTCGTTGGCCACTTCAGTCTGCAGTAATGAGGGCCCCCAATTTCCAAAGTAGATCTTTCCTGGCCAAACATGATAATTTCTAGACGCTACATGCTGCACTACCTCAACATTATAATGCACTTGTCTTCATCCTATACATCACGTAAACCAAGCACAGCTTTCACAGCGTTTTTGGTTAGCAAAACAGGAGGATAACAAGACAACGAGAGTACCAGCGCTCGGAGGTCTCAACATAAATTACAATGGCAGCGTTTTGACACTCAGGTCACATCGCATAAAGCAGTCTGGAGGTTCCATTACCTCGGCTGACTGCAGCGAGTCTCCAGGCTGTAAAGCACAACAGCTCCTTTACTCTTAATCACTCACTCACTTCCCTCTCTCCTCTCAACTCTATATGTCTATGCCACTCAGTCCATTGATTTACATATTACCAGACGATCGCATAAGTCCGCCACCCTTCGAGGCCAGGAACGTCCCACTTGGCACCACAAAGTCTGTAAATCGTCCAAAACCAGAACCCTGTACAGCCAGCGCTACGTGAAGACACCGTAGCCAATCCTTCATCTCACCCTCCGTGTACGCACTGAGCAGTATACGTCGGTTTTTGTTGCGGATAGCAAACCGCCACATTGTGGCTTGGGAACCGTCAAAGACCGAGTCACGAGGCATAATCTCAATGCTCTTGGCGCTGCATTTGGCCAAATCAATCTCTCCGCGTTTGCGGCCACGTTCTTCTCGAAAAAACGTCATCTTTGTGCTCGTGAGTACAACAAAGCGTACCTTCCAGCCACCAGCGCGTAGTCCAAAACCTTGTTTGAATAACAGCCCCGACTTGATCACTCCTCCACGTGGGACATTGGCTGCTCGAGCCATTACACTCTCTCTAGACAATGAAAAGCCATCTTCATCCACAATTAGTGTACGTGGGAGCCTCGACGGGTCACAAATGATCGTGTCAATGTCATTGTCTTCATTCTCACTCCCCATTACTTCAAGAAGAGGAATAGGCCCCGATACTGGCATGGCTAGCATTGCTAGTAACGACTCTGCTCGATTGCATCGATTGCTATTGTTCAGATAATAATCCTTCTCTTCCTCTTCTTCAACTGTCGAAACTGCTCGTTTATCACGGTTCGATTGTGTTCCTGCAGGTGACGGAAAGCACGTGGAACTCACGTCTGAGCTACTGCTCTCACTATCTTCGTACCAATCTCCCTCATCACTTGTATCCGACATGCACGCTGTACCGACTGTTGATCGACCATCTGCATCGTCACTACTACGATCAATCCCACGTCGTAAATGCTGTTTGTACATTGTATTCTGAAACTGTTGCTGTTGCTGTGACGCGCGCAACATTCGTGAAGGTCGAAATGCCAAAAGACTCGGACGGGGAAGCAATTCTTCATTCGCAGGATCCATCATGGCTGGAACTTCCACATGAAAACTAGTATCAAAGGTATAACGACTGCCTCGCCAAGTGGATTCACGGATAACACTGGATGCTTCTCGACTTGGTCCCATATTCTACAGTCACTATTACTGTATGTACCCTCGTGCCTGCCTGTGAATAAAGTAGTGACGAGGAGCTACGAAGGACAAGAAGTCGTACTTAAGTGGAAACCCACGATGATCGTTTGATCAGATTGTTATACAGAATGTGTAATGAACTGAACACATGCAGTCAAACGGTTGCTAATACCTGTAAGAAAAATAGAAACTGTCAGAATCGATATCAATGATAACATAAACTGGTCCAATTTGTAATTTTTAGACTTGTGTAAATGAATATATTGCAGTATGTTATCGCTACATCAAGATGTGGGAGTGTTCGTCTGCTGGTTATTAGGCTATAATGCACTATATTTGACTGGTGAGACTGGCAATTAGTCACTTCCTTGATGGTCTACTGGCTCAAGTGACCCAAGTACAAAAGAGCACACAATGTGGTAAATCATTTGCTCACTCCCACAGACTAAAGAAAAGAAATGGCTTCTGACAGCCGACAAGTCACTGGACTTTTAACATCTAACTGACATGTTAAAAAGAGATAGAGAACTTTGTATACAGTCTATAGCCTTCGTAGCTTGGATAAAGAACGTGCATAAAAAAATAGACGATACATGTAGAGAACTCTCTTTTGCGACCCTATGATGCTCTTAAATATATAAGGACTCGGTATAAAGTCTCAACCCTCTGCGTGTTTTATGCAATTCTCGAATCGTTGAGCTGACAGAAAGAAACATGTCGCAGAGCAGCTGTACTGCGCTTACACCGATGGACGACCAGAGAGCACTGGAAGGGTCAGCCATCACCACATATATACTGAGGTGCTTAAAAAGGCCATCTGAAGACAAAGACCCATTTTATTTCATCCAATCAAATGCTTTTAAGCAATTAAATGGAGGAGGTGAGCTTCAAGAAGAAGAAGAAGCGTGGCACTGCGAAGCGTCAACGTTCTCGTCGTTTTCTAGACAATGAAACAGACGTGTCGGCATTTGATGATAATGATACAGTAGACGTAGAGCAGATTCAGCGCAATATTAAGGAGCTACGAGAAGATCAGCGACTGCGGGAACAAGCACTAAAAAAAGAATTGACCAATCAGAAGGCAGAGGTTTCACAGCCGACCAATCAGTATGGTTTACATGACCCCAAGAAGGACGGATCTACCAATCAAAAGCTTTTAACATTATTAAATGGACAATTTACCGGACAGAGTGTTACGACGGACAAGGATCAACATGAAGAGCTTATGAACAAGTTTATTGAAGAGAGATTGCAAAAAAAGAGAAAGTTAAAGACATTGGAGGAGGAAAACAATGTGGAAAATGTTGCTCAAGCTTTGAAGAATGCTGAGGATAAATTGTTTGAGCTGCCAGATCACTTGAAACCTGATGTGTCGAGTGGTATTAAAAGTTATGAAGACGGAACAGATGGTGGGATGCTCATGGGAAGTGCGGGTATTGCAGAAGTGGAACTACCAACGTCGTATACGGAAAAGACGGAAAAGGCGACGCGAAAAGCACTGGAGACTGGTAAAGTAGGAGGGGTGAAGCTAGATGCGGTGGGAGGGCTCGCAAGCTCGGGGCTGCCGGCCAACTTTAGTGTCGACTTTAATCGACACCGGACAGATTACGTTGCGGAGATGAAGAGTCTGAATAAAGGTATGGAAGATATCGTTGTCGATTGCAGTGATGATGAGCTGCTAACCGAATGATGTTGTTTATGCTCTATTGAAGATGAACGACGTGAGCGGGGATTTCACCAAGGTGCGTTTTTGTTGAAATGATATCTGAAAAGAGAATTATTGCGCTCATTCTTATTTCTTACTTGATTGCATGCAGTCGGCAAGAATCAAGCAAGCGATGATCGCGCCGTATCGCGGTTTCGGAAATTCGAGAGCCGTCAGATGCGACGATAGAATCAGCTTGCAATAACAAGCAACATCAATTGACCGTTATGCTACAGCATTGCATTTTCCGCCTGAACTCATGCTTTACGATTATCTCTCTATTGGCGTTGCTTCAAGTCGGAACTACTCACTCACTCACACAGTCTCCATCAAGAGGTCGACATCATCCCAAAACAGCGTATTTGTAGCCATTTTCATTGATACGTATGGCTACATACGTGATGTGGTGCACATCATCCCGCGTTATAGTGACATATTCACTGACTACTCTAGACTACGTCAGTCAGGACGACGTCATGAGTTGGTTATGGGGCAATGAGACGACGGAGCAGGCGCAATTTGTAGTAAGTGCATTGCAAAGCGAATTAGATGAGCGGGAGAGTAAGATCAAGGCACTGGAGGTGGCTCTAAAGCGTGAGCAGCAGGACATGACGTCGATGCTGGAAGACGAGGTAAAGGAGCTGGAAATGCGACGGAAAAGGATTGAGAAAGAGCTGCAAAGTGTCGAGAGACTTATCAAAGAGAAGCAAAAGCTTATTCAATGCAGTAAAAAGGACGGTGTTAAAAAGAAGAAGAAGAAGACGAAGAAAAAAAGATTCAGACGTCTGAGACCCCTTCTCCACGTACTGCCGTGGGAGAGACGTCAACACCTTGTACTGAAAATATAATGGAAAATATTATGTCGCCCAAGACGAAGCAGAAACAGCTGAAAACGAAGAAAACAGCTGTTGAGACAAGGTGAGCATGAAGACAAGGTGAAAAATAAACAGATGGTTTCGGCGATTGTTCTGATTTAAGGATTGGATAGTGTTGCTGAAGCAGATGGAAAAGACTCCAAGGTGGTGCTGTATATGGACAAGAAATTGGAAATAGTGGCAAAAGAGGAACCTAATGTGGCATTTATTATTCAACGAAGCAATGTGAGTGAAATGTTGTGGGGAAGACTGGAAAAGGTACTAATAGATTTTTGACTTGTTGTGGTAGAATTCGAATACCGTGGTGTATGCGGGATGCAAGTCGGCGGATGGCAAATTTCTGGACCCGACAAACCCGATGAAGGTGTATTGGATCATGTACGAGAAGGAAGGCCACCCACGTGAAGATCTTAACATGATTGAGCGTAACACAGCTTATGGTGTTACGTCCAAGCCGTCGGATGTGCCGGGTGAGCACATGGTGGCTATTGCTTCGCTGCGTGATCGTGATTGTATTCTGCGTCTGGATAAGCACGGAAATGTGATGGCATTGACTACTATTGATGGCAAGAAGGGTATGCTGCTGCGACGTGTGTTTGTGCAAATGACGACGAGCTGGGGCATCCCGACAGTGAACTATGTTGACATCTTTGGCGTGGATCCAGAAACGTTTGAACTCGTGTACGAGAAGAAGAAAATTAATTAGATCGAAGGCAAGAGACACAATTTACCTCAATCCAGCTTGTTCGTGATTGTGTTGAATGGTGGTGCGTTCTCTTTGTATTTGATCTGTTACACGATTCTATATGGCACGACGCATCATGATGAAGGCGGCAGCACCAAGTGTAGTTCCTAGCACGCCGCGCAAAATATCTTCAGGCACGTCGTGAGTAATGTACTTGGAAGTGACATAGACTGCAATGCCCATTGAGCCACCGATACGTGCAGCAGTCGGCAAGTGAACGGATTTAGCTCGCAGATTAAAAGCTGTTGACGATGCAGCTGTAGGCACCACAGACAACAACGAAGTGCCGATGATGGTGGCTTGTGGCATGTCACTTGCAGCAGTCAAGTATGATGTGATGAGAATACCTCCTCCAAGTCCACACAATCCTGAAATAAAGCCTGCTGCTGCACCAGCAACCACGTACTTGGCATTAACCAAAGCAAAGCTTTTCCAATCAGCCTTGACGCGTTCCATATACTCAGCCGACACAGCAGTCGATATCGCTGCAATTGACGAGTGTTTTCCATCTTCACTTGCACGCGCCTCTTCAAGATCCTTGTGTTGAGGTACAAAAAACTGCAAATCCAATGGATCCTGCTTGTCGCTCCACTTGGGCATGTATGGACTGTTCTTGAGGAAAATCAGTGGTGAACACCCGAGCATTGCAGAGCCAACGATCAATGACAATTTCTTGCTAGTGAGTCGATGAGCAATCTGAACACCGTATTTGGTGCCAATAATAGCTGGAAGTGTGGCTATTGCAGCCAATGGTACGTTGCAAGCTCCTGATTCAATGTAATTGTAGGCACCAACAGTTGCAGCAATTGCTACAGCACCTAAAGAAGTGCCATTAATGGCTTGTTGGGGCAAGGACGTGAATCTTGCCATCGCCTACAGTTAAAGAGCATTAAATGACATGGTCAGCAATAAAATACATTGTACCTTTACAACTTAATATTAATAGAGAGTGTTTCAAACCGGAATCAGCACAATGCCTCCACCAACGCCAGTGAGTCCTGAGATGATACCGGCTAAGGTACCTGTTATAGATAATACATCATTTTAAGAGCATTTTAAATTAGAAATAAATTAATAATAAAAAACACAGTGACGTTCTCTATAAACTAATAAATGTTGTTCCTTACCGGTGGCAACACCGGATCCTAATGGGACAGCTGCACTCACAGTTTTTTCCTTGGGTGCAGAACAGAATACACGATGAATAGGAAGGTTCTTGCGCAGTGCATGGCGGTGAATTGAGCGGCCAAGCATTTTATGAGGAATGAAAGATAATATTCCCACTAAGAAAATCTCTATTGGGATGTTTTAATCAAGGTGAAATATATCAGGTGGATTATTAGTAAAAAAGGGTAGATTAATTATTAAAGGTTTAGCCGGCAGCTGTATATACTACTCACGACGTCACGCGTGACGTCGCCTTCGTGTCGTACACTGAAAATACCTGTCAGATTTCATTTGTAGCCATGTTACCAAGGCCGATGCGTCGCCTGTTCTCGAAGAGAGTATTCAGGCCAAAGACGGTGGAAAATAAGGCATTAAACACAGCGTCATCTCAGCAACTTCCAACCAAGAAAACACCAGATGATTCAGAGATTAACCCCTTGAGCCACTTTGCTGCCTTTACGAGCATGGAAAACTACGTGAACGTCACGCTGATCCAGTACAACAAAAAGAAGGAGGACAAAAACCCATCGAAGTCTCCCCAGATCACTTGAAATACCCGTCTCACACTGCCTGCATACATTTAAACTGCACAAGATATTACGTGTTTCGCTGCCAGTTTCTTCCAGAGCCAAATACAAAACCTTGTTTCTTACCTAAGGGACCGAAATCCGTGGAGTTCTTTAAATGAGCATCACCATTGGGTCATCGCCGTCCTGGATGTACATAACCTTGTTCTGCTCTTCCAGATCCACCAGGACCTTTTCTAATTCGGTACGAGGCACTACGTCGCTTCTAGAGCGACGCTCATTTAGTTTTGACAGGATACTCGTCAGCGTGATATTGTCGTTGGCATCGTCCATGTTAACGTCACTACCCAACTCTGATAACACCCCCAGAACATCGTCAGCGAGAGTAGCAGAACTGTAACAACGATACAAAGCAGAGCAGGTAAGCACACCTCCATAACCACAGCACATCAAAATAAAAGGCAACGTACCTCCATGCTGCTCGGTCTCGTTTCCTTGATTTATCGCTAGTGGTAGGCTTCTCCGGGGTCACAGGGGTCTCAATCTCCATTTCTGCCATCGCCTTCTCGCTACCCATCTCCAGTTCTCGGGTCTCCTTTGCTCTTGCAGGTACGGAAGCATCGTCCGAGTGGGGCTCCGACGCCTCATGGTACAGAGCGAAACTAATGAGAGACATGGCCTTTTCAGCGTCCACTGCATCGATCGTTTTGCTCAGACGTGCCTTCGCGTGGGCCGACGCGAGACGAATCAATGTTTCCAAACTACGCGCCGTCACAGGCAAAGTCCGCGCGTTCTGCTGAGAACGAAGCTCTGCGTATCCTTCGGAGATCAACTCGATGGCGCTATCTGTTAGCACAGGCTGGTAACGCATCTTCGCGTAATAAATGTACTTTTTGAGGAAGTCTAATTTGAGGATACCGTTGCCACTACCGGCGTACGATGAAGACTGGTATTCACCGTGAAGCAGCGGGTCGAACTTCTGGAAAATGGAGTTTTTAGACGGGTCGGATCGATCACCCGTGGATTCGCTGAACAATGTCATTTGGTCTGTAGAGCTCACTTCGAACGAGAGGGGTATGCCTTCCTGGCCCGGCCGAGTATACCGATGCATACGCAGGACGTGGTCCGAAATGTTGCGGTCGGTACCACGGTCTAGGCGATCAAGTACCACGAAAAGCAAGTCAAAACGGGATAGAAGCGAATCCGGTAGACCGATGTTTTCCTGTGGCTTCTTGTTTTTGTTGTACTGTCCATACACGGGGTTAGCCGCAGCCAGAACACTGCAGCGAGCATTCAGGGTGGCATGGATGCCAGCCTTCGCGATTGTCACCGTCTGTTGCTCCATGACTTCGTGAATAGCCACACGATCCGCTTCGCTATAGTGCGTTGCCAAGTCAGCCACGTTCGATGTGTAAAGCCTCAGAATAAACTTATCTTACCTCATCTTGTCAAATTCATCAATGCATACGATGCCTCGGTCAGCGAGCACCATGGCACCGGCTTCGAGTCGGCGTTCCTTTGTGTCAGGATCAATCGTGACAGCGGCGGTCAAACCAACACCAGACGAACCACGACCTGTAGTGTTGACGGCCAGAGGCGCGATCGTCCGGACAAAACGCAACAGCTGAGACTTGGCTGTCGATGGATCACCCACCATCAAAATCTGCAGAATAGAACACAAAAGGGTTTAGCAGCTATACCATCAATACACTCGTGAAGTGGGTTTAAGGCAAGCACACTCACGTTAACGTCACCACGAAGATGTGTGCCGTTCTCCAGGTTTTTCTCCACACCACCTAGTAACTGAAGCAGCAGCGCTTGCTTAATCTCGCCATGGCCATAGATAGACGGCGCTATCGATCGTGACAGCATGTCAAAAGCATCCTGTCGTTTTGCAAACTCACGGACATTCACCAGGTCGTCACGCGACATGACAATGCCGTTCACTTCTTTTCCCATTAGTTGAACGTTGTTAGCAATAAGAACCGTTCTAAAAACTGCTGTAGTAGAAGCTGTGTTATTTCCACCAAGCGGGCGATAGATACCGACCACACGAACACGATCGCCGGGCTTGCACTTGTCCACAATATCATTCTCTACAATAATCTCACACGACCTTGGAAGTTGTCCAAGCGGTGCTGTCTCTGGTGTTTCCTGCATACTAATCACCTGGTAGTCTTTATACTTCGAAAGTCCAAATTCCGTTTCCAGTAGATTGCCATTTTCATCTTTGGTCGGATAGACACTTGACGTTGGAATACCTCTAATGCACGTATTATCTCTGTACTCTCTGGATAAAATAGCATTGGTCTCTTTGCAGTAATGCACCGAACGTACAACTTTTGGTCGTACTGCTGAGCATTTGGTGACAATTCCATGTACACACACCATTTGGGTGAGATAGGAAGCTAAAAGGCCTCTAGGATTGACATTATGATGCCCAAAATCTCCCTCAAATCCCACGTGAAATTGTATCTCCTTTGTAGCTTCAGCTTCTTTACTGCCATAAAGACTGTCCATATTAAAGACCATTTCTTTGACTGCATCTTCAAATGGTGGTACAAATTCTGCTGGATTGTGTAATAATCTATTGACAATATTGTCCTGATTGCTATCCACTGCTGGATCCGTGAAAGAGCTGTCGTATTCACGTAAATCATTGAGATCAATGACCAATCGGGTACATTTTTGATGCATCATACTCCGCAATTTTTCCGAATAATTGCCATAATTGCCCTATAATTTTCATAATATTTTTTTAATGTATCATACACAAACAAGAAAAAAATTGTATTGAAATACGATAAAAGAGAGAGATTATAGGATTTAAAAAGCAGTTAATGCCACACGTACGTCATTGCTTAAGAATTCTTGAAAGTACTGTTTATGACGACGGAAAACATCGTCTAATGCATCCTGTTGTAGCTCCATGGCGTCTTCTTGAAAGCTCGTATTTTTTGCGCGGGAAGTTCGAATGGTCTTCTTCCTTTTTGTTTAAATGTAATACGTCAGTCTTGTGAGAAGGGTGGAAAGAGTGACTTCTTTCTAGATTATGAGGTGAAAAAGCTGCGACGTGTGAAACACGAGATGGGTACAGTTTGCTGCAATGGTGCTCAGTCGGCGAACTCAAGCGTCTGTCCTCGTAATTATTGCAAGTAGGGATTACAAATAGATACAGTGGCAACCTATTACCTTTGACAGCTTCAAGTACGCTAAGAACTACCTCTTGTTGTTATCTACTACTTGCTCGATAAGCCAAGATCGTGCTATTTGATGTAAAGTCGTGTCGTGATTGTTTTGTTGTGGTGGTGGTGAAGACATCGAATGCGGCTATTGATTGTCGCTCGTTCTATTTGTTTATGGTGTAGTAATGTGATATTTGGTTAATGATGTAGTGATGGTGAGTGTGGAGCTTTTCGATGTCGAAATACGTGGCGATTTGTGAATGACTTTGAGAGTGTAATGTGAAGCAAGACGTATTCGTGTTGGATTTCTGTTGGTAACTAGTACTGTTGCGAGAGTCTTCCATGCAAGCAAATCCGAAGCGCGAGAAGGCGTGCGTTAGTCGTTAGTGCATTTATGTAACAGTCGCGCGAGCTGCATAACGAAGTAGCTGCAGGACTGGATCCAGCAGTTGAATATGTGGACGATTCTGCGAGAGGGTTGTCATGTAGATGCATTGCTGTAAATGGAGGTCTACGATTCTAAACAAGTCCAAGGTTAAAGCCCCGACTCCATCAGTCGAAGTTCAAGTCCAAGTGCAAGTCCAACGAAAGGCTAGATGATAAGTGGAGATCTCAGCTCAAGGCAAAGGGCAAGTCCTATATGAAAACTTAGCTTCAGTCGGTCAATGCAATATTGTGTTGGTCTTTGATGTATGGTTGGTTGTATACAAGGGTGCTTGCCGGTGTTTCGTTATGTGTGAAGGGTGGAAGACGGAGATATGGCAAACATAAACACCATAGAGCAAGAGAAGCAGTCCCGGTGCTCGGTAAACTCGCCAGCTGAAGCAGGTAAGTATAGGACTGTTTGTTTTCTAACTTGCAGAGGTGCTCGAAAAACGTTGAGGAAGGTCGTGGCATGCAGGGCTAGTGGAAACAGATCTTTGTTGAAGGTGGTGCAGTGGCCGAAAACCGTTTGGTGGTTTCATCTTTGATTAATGCAGCTTTCTTTACTTTGAACAACAATCTTCAAGAACGACCCTGATCTGCTCAATTTTTAAGATCGAAGATGTCGTCTCATAAATCTATTCAATAACTACATGATGTATGTATGTATGTTAACGCGTTACGCGAGCCGTCTTGCCATCAAAGGGGCTCAACTTCCGCATGCGTCGGGTTATCTCTCTTCTCTACATTTCTCTCTACTCTCGCCAGGGTCCATTAAGCGGCGCGCGCTATATGCGACGCGCTAAAGGCCGTCTAGGCTGCACGATCCTTTGCACACCGCCAAAGGAGGTGCAGGTCTGGCGCCAGTCGACAGCGGTGTCCAGCGGTAGATTTCTTGCTTGAACTACATGAGGGCGTGTAAAAAACACAGAACACATACTGCGCTTTCGCGTAAACAGCCAACGAATCCTAGCTCTTTCTTGATTCGACCCTGGTGTGTCAGCCTTTTTCTAATCTTCCTCCCTCTTTGTCTTCATTTCTTGCTCCATTTTCTTTAGCTCCTCTTCCTCCAGTTTCTTTGCTCCCTCCCGTTTTTCGCTTTGCTTCTCGCAGCTTTGTATTTGTTTCCCACGCTTTGGCGTCACCTTTCTTTTTCTCTTCAGCGTCATTTTTTCTTCTATCGTACAGATGTTCGTACTCTTTCAAATCTTTCTTGTCGTGGATTGATTCTGGCGGTATCATGAGCTTCGTCTTGAATATTTCCGGGCTGGTATCGGCTTGTAAATGTTCCTTCAGCAGATTGGTCCACACCCTGTCAGCTAACTCTTTCGTATTTTCTTCTTCTCGCGCATTTCTAAGCCAAGCAAGGTTAGTTGAAGGCTCAAATACTTCCATCAAGGGTGTTCCTGTTTTGTCAGTACGCGTGGCTTGTTTAAAGAAAGTATCCGCATAATCCATCCACCAACGAAATGAAGGGTTTTCAAACAGCTCTGCAGGCGTCATCTTGGTATTCAGCCCCAAAAATATAAAAACTTTATCTAGTGACAATTCAAGATTCCAAAACTGAAACAAACCATCCTCCACTCGTTTAACAGCAAAAAGCGTAGACTTACTCGATGACGCTTTTATGGGCTTACTTGATGACGCTTTCACGGAGTTGCTCGATGACTCTTTCACCGACATAATCATTTCGCCCAATTTGTCCATCTTGTAAGCGAATTGATTCTGTAACAGTAATGACACGTCGAACTCACGATCTACGTACTTGACCATATATGTTGGGTCAGTAACCCACGGCCTTTCTTCGCTTGTTTCAATCACTTCGTCATCTGTTGCAAGTCTTTTGGTTCTGGAATAACCTTCCGAGTACTTGACGAAAGTGATGAAGAGAGGAATTTCAAACAGATTACCCTCATCTCTCAAAATTCTTTCCAATTTGTCTTTGCCAAAGTACATCTTGTAGACCTCTTCTGGATGTTTTTTTTGGGTAAACCACAGTCGAAAGAGAGCCTTTTCCAAAGGTGTAGACTCCAACCCTCCTGTACTTGATGCAAATTTTGTACCTCGAAAAATCTCGTTCTCCTCGAAGCTTTCCTCCCTCGTCAGTAGAAGTTCTTTTCTGTCCATACTGACAACCTGTGTGAACCTGGCAAATGTCTTCATCGAAGGGTCTTCCAACAACTTATAGTCTGCACGGTTAAGATCAAGAAACTTGAACACGTCGTCTAATGACTTTCCATCTGACAGCCAGGTCGCGCATAGATCGTTCTTCAAACGACTAGCGTATTTTACGGAGTCCGTGACCTTTCGCTCAGCATTAATAAGGCCGACTAGTCCTTTGTCACCGTAAACGGTTCGCAACGACTGGATAACACTTGTTCGGGACTTTTTGGGATGTGCCGCATTGAACTTCTCCAAGCAGGCACGCCAAAACATAAAGAGTGGATCAGTAAACAGGCCGTCACCAACTTGTTCCAGTCTCAGATCCACGAACAGTTCATCAACTCTGCTTTTTGTTTCAAGGTTTGCCTTTTCCAGCTCGTCCTTCATAAAACCCTCAAAGCTCGTCCCCTTCTTACTGCTCAAGAAGTCGATGACCGATTCCTTGTTGCCATGTTTCGCATTGACCATCTCAAAGTAAAAGTACCATTGATTGAAGACTGGATTAGTAAGCACGCTATCCTCAACTGTATGTAGTCTCAGCAGCTCGAACACTTCATCAACAGATTCACCCTTTCTCAGCCAATAATTAAGTTGCTCTTCCCCCAATGCTACAGCATTTTTGTTAATCTCTTTGTTCTCCTTGTTCTTTTTCGCATTGACTATTAGGCGTGCCAAAGCTGCATCATTGTTCTTGTACTCGGACATCAAAATGTCAAAAACACTCATTTTCTCTTGAGAGGGTTCCTTGTTGAACCTTTCCACGTATGTACTCCAATAATGGAAGAGAGGATGATCAAGCAGGTCATTTTTAGCCTTGGTCAGTCCCAGCAGTTCAAACACATCATGAGCAGATTGCTTCTTCTTCTTCAGCCAATACTCCATTTGCGCATTCTCCAATTTTATAACGACGTCGTTATGAGAATTTTGTGTCTTTGCATGTTCGATGAGCTTTGCAATTTGTTTGTCATCAAATTTCTTCTTCAATTTTTTATATACTTGTTCATCATTATGCTTTCTAACCACTTTTAAAAACATTTCATACGCTTTTTCTTGTGAAATTTCGGTTTTTCCAACGACATTGGATTTTACTGCACCCTTTGCCTTTTCGACCATTTCACTTAACCTCGCGAACATCCTTTCGCCATCGTCTCTACCCGCAGTAGAAGTTGACTCTTCAGAGGGTTTAGTCGGACTACTAGTGGTAATAGTTCTTCTTGTCTTCTCTTTGGCAAGAACCTCTTTTACCAAAACGTTCACATTCGTCATCCCGTCGCCTTTCTCTCTAGCCGCAGTAGAGCTTGACTCAGTAGATGAATTACTCGTGCTCACACCGACAAAAGTTGTTGGCTCGATTTTGGTAGCATGCGTGATTGCAACTGCTGCAAGGAGCAATTGTATGTGGACTCGCATGATCGGCTGAACTGCAGGTCGAATTGTAAAATGAGCGAATATATAAGCGAAGCTTGCTCAGGGCTAAGAGTCAGTAGAAAAAACAGCACGTCGTATGTACGCCGAATGGAAGACCTTAGGGAGATAGAGTACAATCAGTGGACAGACGACATACCAGTGTCAAAGCTGGTGCTCTGCTGCCCTTTTTCTAAGTAGAAAAGGGAAACACTTCGACATTTCCACATGTACTAACACATATATTGATACAACGAAACGAAACGTTTTTTTTGGCCCCGAAGCGGGTCTTTGTCATGATTCTACGCGTCCCATTGCTATCAATCATGATGGGCGTGTGTAGAATGGATGCGATCATCACATACAAAAACTAAATGTAAGAACAAAAAGGGAGGTTAGCACTTTTTTTTGTTTAGTTATCACGCATCCTTGCGACACCAGTCACTCATTCAATCCTTTTTTTAGTATATGGGGCGGCATTGCACGACAAAAATGTCATGATTTGAGTTTGCGACGTGTGTATAGTCCATGATTCGACCATTGAGCAGACGATTTCGTACTTTTATTATTATGACATTTACAGCAAAGGCTTCTGCCAGAGCTGAAAAAACCTTGTTGCTGATGGATGGGCGAATTGTCCCAGTGCACATTCACCCATCCGTCAGCAACAGGAAAAGTAAAGTAGGTGCATTTTCTTTTATGGTGGAAAGACACTTGATAAATAGAAAGAAGTACCGGGTAGTATTTCATCCAACCTTATTGACAGTAGCGTAGTAGCATCCCGTATCCACTCGAAGCTGCAGGAGTTGATTCTAATCGACTCCACAGCAATCATGTCTTATTCGACGATCAATAGTCGTTGTTAATGGTCACGTACTCGTGGATAAGCAGGTCATCACATAATGCCTGAGTTTTGTCGGATCCAACACCTAGACGTATCTCAATCGGACGTTGCAACGAACACGAAGTAACTTAGTTATCTTTCTAACGATCCATCTAAAACTTCATACCTCGACAACTTCTCGTGGGGCGGATAGTTGTGCGACCTGGCATCGAGTCGAACTCGCGTGGGGTCCACCAGCATTGCGTCTCGCATGTGAGCCACAAGTTTGGCTTCAATATCATCATATAGCACCATCTCGCCGCTTCAATAAAAGATCACACCACCCATTCGAATCTTCATACGGCGTTGAATGCTAACAACTTCGTAATGCAAGCCTATTTTACTCGGGGGTGATGCTTTAATTCACTTTTCAAACGTCAATTCCATGTCCTTATCAACACCCAGATATTTTCAAAGTAAGATTCTTCATATCTACCTCTGGCACAGGCATATGGTGACGCACAAAGAACAACTCATTGGGGTAATTAACGACTCCATCAACAGCTCTGCCGGTGGCTCCGTATTAAACGATATGTTCCAGCTCACTATAAGTGCCCGGTGACCTGTCGAATTGCGACTGTACGGTCCTTCCCCATATCTCGCTTTCTCAAAGTTCCAGCATCTCGACATCTTCATCTCGCAAATTCCCAATCCTCAATGTTTCCAGAACCTTGTGCACTTCAACATGATTATGAGCAGCATAGAGCTGCCAAAACGGTTGATAGAATTGTCAGCTGGAAATAAGATCTTTGTTCTACCTGGATGCATCACAATGAAGTTTGTAATGTCGTCAACTGCGTGTTTATAGACAACTCACGTGCCATTTTTCTTGGCTCCAGTCTAATTCTGTACCTCTTGAAATGTACAAGTTGGTCAATTCACTTGCACGTGACCTGCAACCACAACATCTTGGTCATTTTGTGTAAATTCTTCTTCACACTAAACTATACCAAGTGTCAAGCCAATTGCAGACGCTACAAGGACGCGAAAGGTCCAAAAACTTGCACGAATGTTGCAGTGGTGCTCAGTCGGCGAACTCAAGCGTCTGTCCTCGTAATTATTGCAAGTAGGGATTACAAACAGATACAGTGACGACCTATTACCTTTGACAGCTTCAAGTACGCTAAGAACTACCTCTTGTTGTTATCTACTACTTGCTCGATAAGCCAAGATCGTGCTATTTGATGTAAAGTCGTGTCGTGATTGTTTTGTTGTGGTGGTGGTGAAGACATAGAATGCGGCTATTGATTGTTGTTCGTTCTATTTGTTTATGGTGTAGTGATGTGATATTTGGTTAATGATGTAGTGATGGTGAGTGTGGGAACTACGATGTCGAAATACGTAGCGATTTGTGAATGACTTTAAGAGTGCATTGTGGAGCAAGACGTATTCGTATTAGATTTCTGTTGGTAACTAGTACTGTTGCGAGGGTCTTACATGCAAGTAAATTCGAAGCGCGAGAAGGCGTGCGTTATTAGTGCATTTATGTAACAGTCGCGCGAGCTGCATAACGAAGTAGCTGTAGGACTGGATCCAGCATGGACGGTACTGCGAGAGGGTTGTCATGGAGATGCATTGCTGTAAGTGGAGGTCTACGATTCTAAACAAGTCCAAGGTTCAAGCGCCAAGTCCAATCGAAGTTCAAGTCCAAGTGCAAGTCAAAATAAAGGCTTACTGATAAGTGGAGATCTCAGCTTAAGGCGAAGGGCAAGTCCTATATGAAAGCCTAGCTTCAGTCGGTCAATGCTATATTGTGCTGGTCTTTGATGTATGGTTGGTGGTATACAAGGGTGCTCGTCGGGGCTTCTTTATGTGTGAAGGGTGGAAGACGGGGATATGGGAAACATAATCACCATAGAGCATGGGAAGCAGCCTCGGTGCTCGGTGAACTCGCCAGCAGGTAAGTATAGGACTGTTTGTTTTCTAACTTGCAAAGGTGCTCGAGAAAGGTTGGGGAAGATCGTGGCATGCAGGGCCAGTAGAAACAGATCTTTGTTGAAGGTGGTGCAGTGGCCGAACGTTAGGTGGTGTCATTAATCATTTATGCACTTCGAACAAGCTTCAAAAAGGACCATGATCTGCTCAATCGATGATGTAGTGTCTCACAAATCTATTTAAACCCACATGAGGGTGTGTAAAGAACACAAACAGCGTTTTCGCGTACACAGGTTCCTTGCTCTTTTTTTCGCTTTCTTGATTAGCCGCTGGTGTGTCAGCCATTTTCTAATCTTCTTCTTTCTTCATTTCTTGCTCCAAATTTCTTTCGCTTTTCTTCTTGCTCCAATTTATTTTGCTTTTCTTCTTGCAGCTTTGTATTCACTTTCTACACTTCGTAGTCATCTTTCTTTTTCTCTTCAGCGTCCTTTTTCCTTTTCTCGTACACATGTTTGTACTCTTTAACATCTTTCTTGTCGTGGAATGATTTTGGCGGTATCATTGGCTCTGTCTCGATTATTTACGGGTTGGTATTGGTTTGTAAATGTTCCTTCAGCAAATTGCGCCACACCCTGTCAGCTAACTCTTTCGTATTTTCTTCTTCTCGCGCATTTCTAAGCCAAGCAAGGTTAGTTGAAGGCTCAAATACTTCCATCAAGGTTTTTCCTGTTTCCTGAGTATGCGTGGCTTGTGTGAAGAAATTATCCGCATAATCCATCCACCAACGAAATGAAGGGTTTTCAAACAGCTCTGCAGGCGTCATCTCGGTATTCAGCTTCAGAAGTTTGAAAACTCTATCTAGTGACACTTCAGCGTTCCAAATACGAAACAAACCACCTTCCACTCGATTAACAGCATAAAGCGCAGAGGACTCTTCCACAGAATTACTCGATGACTTTTTCACGGGCTTACTTGCTGACGCTTTCACGGACTCACTCGATGACTCTTTCACAGACATAATCATTTCGCCTAATTTTTCCAACTCGTATTTGAATTCATTCTGTAACGGCAATGACACGTCGAACTCACGATCTACGTACTTGACCATATATGTTGGGTCAGTAACCCACGGCCTTTCTTCGCTTGTTATAACCACTTCGTCATCTGTTGCAAGTCTTTTGGTTCTGGAATAACCTTCCGAATACTTCACGAAAGTAATGAAAAGAGGGATTTCAAACAGATTGCCCTCCTTTTTCAAAATTCGATACAATTTGTCTTGACCAAAAAACATCTCGTAGACCTCGTTTGGATCTTTTTCTTGGGTGAACCACAGTCGGAAGAGAGCTTTTTCCGAATCCGTAGACTCCAACTCTCCTGTACTTGATGCAAGTTTTGTACCTCGAAGAATCTCGTTCTCCTCGAAGCTCGCCTCCTTCGTTTTTGGAAGTTCTTTGCTGTCCATACTGGCAACCTGTGTGAACTTGGCAAATGTCTCCATCGAAGGGTCTTCCAACAATTTATAGTCTGCACGGTTGAGATCAAGAAGCTCGAACACGTCGTCTAATGACTTTCCATCTGACAGCCAGGTCGCGCATAGATCTTCCTCCAAACGACTAGCGTATTTTACGGAGTCCGTGACCTTTCGCTCAGCATTTATAAGGTCCACTAATCCTTTGTCAGCGTAAACGGTTCGCAAAAATTGAACAACACTTGTTTGGGAATTGTTAGGATGTGCCGCATTAAACTTCTCCAAACAAGCACGCCAAAATTTAAAGAGTGGATCAGTAAACAGGCCGTCACCAACTCTTTCCAGTCTCAGATCCACGAACAGTTCATCAACTCTGCTTTTTGTTCCAAGATTTGCCTTTTCCAGCTCGTCCTTCATAAAATCCTCAAAGCTCGTCCCCTTCTTACTGCTCAAGAAGTCGATGACCGATTCCTTGTTGCCATGTTTCTCATTGACCATTTCAAAGTAGGAGTACCATTGATTGAAGACTGGATTAGTAAGCACGCCATCCTCAACCGTATGTAGTCTCAGCAGCTTGAACACTTCATTAACAGATTCCCCCCTTTCCCCCCCCACCACAACTCTTCTTCTCCTTCCAATATTCCATTAGCGCTTTCTCCAAATTGATAGCGACGTCGTTATGTGCTGGTTCCGTCTTCGCATATACGATGATCTTTGCAATTTGTTTGTCATCAAATTTCTTCTTCAACTTAGCGAACGCGGAGGCTGAATCTTTTCCATCCTTCGTGGCCACTTTCGAAATAATTCCATGCGCTTCAGCTTGTGAAATGTCGGTTTTCGCAACGACATTAGATTTTACTGCATCCTTTGCCTTTCCGACCATTTCGCTTAACCTCGCGAACATCCTTTCGCCGTCGTCTCTACCCGCAGTATTAATTGACTCTTCAGAGGGTTTAGTCGGACTACTAGTGGCAATAGTTCTTCTTGTCTTCTCTTTGGCAAGAACCTCTTTTACCAAAACGTTCACATTCGTCATCCCGTCGCCTTTGTCTCTAGCCGCAGTAGAGCTTGACTCAGTAGATGAATTATTCTTGCTCACACCGACGAAAGTTGTTGGCTCGACTTTGGTAGCATGCGTGATTGCAACTGCTGCAAGGAGCAATTGTATGTGGACTCGCATGATCGGCTGAACTGCAGGTCGAATTGTAAAATGAGCGAATATATAAGCGAAGCTTGCTGAGGGCTAAGAGTCAGTAGAAAAAACAGCACGCCGAATGGAAGACCTTAGGGAGATAGAATACAATCAGTGGACAGACTACACTACCAGTGTCAAAGCTGGTGCTCTGCTGCCCTTTTTTCTAAGTAGAAAAGGGAAATACTTCGACGTTTTTTCACATGTACTAACACATGTATTGGTACAACGAAACGAAACGTTTTTTTGACCCCGAAGCGGGTCTTTGTCATGATTCTACGCGTCCCATTGCTATCAATCATGATGGGCGTGTGTAGAATGGATGCAATCGTCACATACAAAAACTAAATGTAAAAACAAAAAGGAAGGTTAGCACTTTTTTTTGTTTAGTTATCACGCATCCGCTCCCATTTGCGACACCAGTCACTCATTTAATCCTTTTTTTAGTATATGGGGCGGCATTGCACGACAAAAATGTCATGATTTGAGTTTGCGACGTGTGTATAGTCCATGGTTCGAGCGGGAAGTCCCTCCAACGGGAGGCCCAGGATAAGAGGGGGAGTCCCTCTGCTGCGTGCGCTATGGGGGGCAAGCGCAGCGTGCGAACCGTAAGGGGAGCACCAACCCTGTTACCCCCCGGGGGGAGAGGATCGATGACCGCGGTTATCATTCCCTCTTTCCCCAATAGTTCCTGCTATTCTACGTCAGCCTTCAAGCCGCCGATTCGATCGCCGAGCGCGAATCTCGGTCCCACGAAGTGAACTTGCCAAGAACGTGAATTGATCGGCCCCGTCCAGGTGCATTAGCGGTCGATCGGGACTGATCGGTGTGGTGCCCGGCGCTTGTTGCGATCATTGAGCCACTGTTTACACCTCGGGCTGGATACCCGATTCCACGTGCCCTTTTCGGAGTGTCCCCCGTGACGCCCGACGTCTCGAGCCAGCAGATTGAGCCAGCGAGGCGAAGAATGACGAAGTCCTGGTAGAAGCACTCCAGACATCTTACCAATCCTTAATGTTTGAAATAGACGGTCTGTTCTTCTCTTCTCTCTAGTCCATGGTTCGACCATTGAGCAGACGATTTCGTACTATAATTATCATGGCATTTACAGCGAAGGCTTCTGCCAGAGCTGAAAAAACCTTGTTGCTGATGGATGGGCGAATTGTCCCAGTGCACATTCACCCATCCGTCAGCAACAGGAAAAGTAAAGTAGGTGCATTTTCTATTATGGTGGAAAGACACTTGATAAATAGAAAGAAGTACCGGGTAGTATTTCATCCAACCTTATTGACAGTAGTGTAGTAGCATCCCGTATCCACTCGAAGCTGCAGGAGTTGATTCTAATCGACTCCACAGCAATCATGTCTTATTCGACGATCAATAGTCGTTGTTAATGGTCACGTACTCGTGGATAAGCAGGTCATCACATAATGCCTGAGTTTTGTCGGATCCAACACCTAGACGTATCTCAATCGGACGTTGCAATGAACACAAAGTAACTTAGTTATCTTTCTAACGATCCATCTAAAACATCATACCTTGACAACTTCTCGTGGGGCGGATAGTTGTGCGACCTGGCATCGAGTCGAACTCGCGTGGGGTCCACCAGCATTGCGTCTCGCATGTGAGCCACAAGTTTGGCTTCAATATCATCATATAGCACCATCTCGCCGCTTCAATAAAAGATCACACCACCCATTCGAATCTTCATACGGCGTTGAATGCTAACAACTTCGTAATGCAAGCCTATTTTACTCGGGGGTGATGCTTTAATTCACTTTTCAAACGTCAATTCCATGTCCTTATCAACACCCAGATATTTTCAAAGTAAGATTCTTCATATCTACCTCTGGCACAGGCATATGGTGACGCACAAAGAACAACTCATTGGGGTAATTAACGACTCCATCAACAGCTCTGCCGGTGGCTCCGTATTAAACGATATGTTCCAGCTCACTATAAGTGTCCGGTGACCTGTCGAATTGCGACTGTACGGTCCTTCCCCATATCTCGCTTTCTCAAAGTTCCAGCATCTCGACATCTTCATCTCGCAAATTCCCAATCCTCAATGTTTCCAGAACCTTGTGCACTTCAACATGATTATGAGCAGCATAGAGCTGCCAAAACGGTTGATAGAATTGTCAGCTGGAAATAAGATCTTTGTTCTACCTGGATGCATCACAATGAAGTTTGTAATGTCGTCAACTGCGTGTTTATAGACAACTCACGTGCCATTTTTCTTGGCTCCAGTCTAATTCTGTACCTCTTGAAATGTACAAGTTGGTCAATTCACTTGCACGTGACCTGCAACCACAACATCTTGGTCATTTTGTGTAAATTCTTCTTCACACTAAACTATACCAAGTGTCAAGCCAATTGCAGACGCTACAAGGACGCGAAAGGTCCAAAAACTTGCACGAATGTTGCAGAGTGGGACAATACGGGTGGGACAGAGACAACGTATTGCTGTCTTGGTATTAGCGAGCACTATCCATTGTCTTGAGACGAGACGGTAAATCGTAATGGTGTGTACACACTAACAATCGATGGTTTAGTGTGTTTAATATTTTTCAAGAGTAATCAAATGTCGCAGTGATATACCATCATTCCTCCCAAATGACATTCATTTTCCTTACGTGTCCATCGTCATGGTATCTCTCGAGACCTGCACGAGTCTCACCATTGTGTCGACGGCCGCAAGCCTCGGCTTGGTATGTTACGCACTGAAATTACGTGCAGATATTGCATCACTTACTATGAGCAAAAAGACGTTTACGCGCAAGAACGACAAGCTGTGGAACGTTGAGGAGCTCATTGCCAAACGTCGAAGCATTTTCCCGCCAAATTTTGACTGCGAGGACTGCGTGCCGCGTGAGATCCTTGACAAGATGCTGGAAAGCGCCAATTGGGCGCCTACACACGGTCGTACTGAGCCCTGGCGTTTCGTGGTGTTTGAAACTCATGAGAAACGTCGGGAGCTTGGCCAGATGTTGGCAAATGTGTACAAGCATGCAGTCCCCGTGGATAAGTTTCTAGAGACAAAGTACAAGAAGTTTGTGGTTAATTGCACTACGTCGTCTCATGTTATTGCCATTTGCATGAAGCGCCAAAAGAGTGGCAAGATTCCCGAGTGGGAAGAAATGTGTGCGGTGGCTTGTGCTGTGCAGAATATGCACCTCGTAGCGACGGCTTATAATGTTGGTGCCTATTGGAGCTCAGGGCCACCCATTACCATGTCACAAGAGATGAAGGACCATCTGCAACTTGGTGACGCGGACAAGTGCCTGGGACTCTTTTACGTGGGTGTGCTGAAGGCAGACGCTAAGATTGCAAAAGGCGTTCGCAAGCCAATTGAGGAGAAGGTCACGTGGGTGTGACGGTGTTGCGCAAAGACTGACGGTGTTGTGACAACACTGATCACAAGGTAATTAATTGACTATTACTATGTGTCATACTAGTAACAGTCAGCGAATACAGTAAGAACTAGTCGTGTTTGAATTGAACTACGCTCAGCAAATACTGGAGCGTCGATAGATGCAAAAGCGGCTTTACGTTTTGCACTATTTAGACACTCATTTTTTTCGCGGTTGAAAAGCTCGAATTCATCTACATCGTACTTAAAGAAATGCAAGGCGACGGAATGATTGACAAATGACCTCTTAGGTACCACCGTATATCACTGCATATTGAAGCAACGTCGCAAATTTTAGTAAATGACCTCACTAAATTAGAATTCTGGAAAAAGCTAGGTATCTGTAGGAAAGAATCAGTTGACTACTACTTTATGCTTCAATCATAACTGCGTAAAATATAAATTACGACTAAAATTAATTACCAGCTGCAACAATGACCTATATATATGTATACTCCAATTCAGTATCTTTAGGACACCTGTTCGATTATATATTACGTTCATTTAAGGATTATAAAATTGCCATATTAAGTTTGATTTAATCTATTTTTTGAAGGTTGCGCGATGGTATGACAATGAAGTCTGAACTTCTTTCGTCTCGTTGTGATTTCCTCTTGATACGAATATAATAGTACGGGAGGACCGCTTAAGTAGATAAGTGCTCTTTCCAGGAGTTCAACTAGATGTGGGCCGTGTAGACATAGTGCTTTTTGGTAAACAAGGGCTGCTCTCCCGCTTGACTGGGTGAAATCACGACTTCGTGCAGCTCGAGGTCCTCTGGTCTGTAAGGTCTCCGGACTTTCATGGCAACCAAGACCATTACTGCCACTGCGGCTACAATGCCCACAACTGCTGCAATGGGGAGTCCGCTATTGGGAAGAGACGACGAGCTCGTGAGATTCCTGACGTCGATAGCGGTGACCGTTGAGAATAGCATTATGACAGCAATGAGGAGCCTGATAGAGACCTTAGACACTTGCATAGTGAAGTAGAATGAAAGTGAAGGATAGGAAGCTTGTTTTTCAATGTGAAGAAACGCAGAATGACAACTCCCTTACATCAATCGGACCATGGGAACCCTTTTTACCAGATAGGGCGATTGACTTGACTTTAGTATGCGTGCATAGTTTGTGGAATACTATAATAGGTTATGGATGGTCGCATGTCAGGCGACGAAATACTTGCAGCGACAATGTCCGTCTCATTGCGTGCGTGCTACTAACGTGATTGTCTACACGTGATCACGACAGTGCCTTTTCTTCCGTCCAGAAATGTCTTGATCGGGCTAGAAAGCTGAAAGCCTTTGTTGAAAACCCATTGATTGCAAAATGTAGAGGTTAGAAAACATCGCATAAGGACTTGCCTAAATGTAACGGGCGATCGGTCTGCTTGATGTTAGACTGCAGGGATATGGCATATAATGGCAATTGTCGAGCAGGTAAGTGCCGGTAGCTTCGGACCATACAGAAACGCACGTAGTTCAATATTTCGGGCCGATCTAATGCATGTCGTCTCGGCGTTATAGACGGCGGAAAGAAAACAAAAGCAGGGCATAGACTTTGTAGGTACTTCTCGCAGCTGCACATTAGCGTAATAGCTGCAGCACTGCCCACAGGGTTTTTCTACGGATGACGAAGAAGCCAAGATAGTTCTTCAAATAGTATTTGATCTTCAAGGACTTTCACATCTGAAAAGGTGCAGGATCTGCTCAGTTGCATGGAGCTTGCATGATGTGTATGAAACTCAACATGGTTACGGACCAGACGTAAAGCTGCATCGCAAACAGTATGAAATATTCCATTAGTGTACATTAGTATGAAAGAGTCTTTGCAAAGCGCAAAGCAGATAGTGTCAATCAAGCCTAGAATAAGACCACATGAGTAAAATGATGTCGAACGGGGCGATAAGCCAGTTAGAAGAAAAAAACACGAGATGATGGAAGTTATCAGGTACAAATGTCGTATATCTAGAAATTTACTGATCTTTGCAGGTGATGTTTCTTGCTGACCACAAATCAGATTGACGTGGCTGATTTGCATCACCACTCTAAGCTTTGATACCTGACATTCATGAGGACGTAGGACTGTTTGAATAGGTCACTATTACCACGTCCCGACAATTTCAAAGCAGTCATGCGTAGTACCAGAGATATTGAATGCAAGGCTAGCCCTGAACTTAATACCCTTAAGACCTACTAATGTAAAGCAGTAGATCTTATGAATGCTCTGGATAACGGTGCAGGTGCGCTTTTATTGAAGTCGATCGAACTTGAAATCGATCTTCCGGTAGTATTTTACATTGACAAACAGCACCTTAGATCAAACTGATGAGAATCAAAGAGTGGTAAGAGGTTTCTTTGCGATCTGCCCGCTTGTTAGCAGCAATACGGTACAACTGATCGTTTCAAACAATCACAATGCAGTAGTACCGCTTTACCGTCGACATGGTCGAAAACTTCATTAGTGTTTCGTTCATTGATTCGCCGACTGCTACACCGCAATCTCTTACGGACGACATTTGTGAATGCTGATAACTAGTGCTTGACTTACGCGGGTTGTTTTCCATTCCAGAGAGAAGAATACCTCAATTGGACTTGTTGGGATAAAGAAACTTTCAAATTCCTATCTAACATTGGGAGGCGTGATACATCCCCCCTACGTTCACTATCCACCCCTCATGATATTGTTGTTGGTACATCTGAGCACACGATTACAAGAGCACATGGCGATGAAAATACCATTAACCATTGAGCAGAATTAACGCGCGTGAGCTGCATACACTTAAGATCATCGGTTTTTAGGCAAAGAAATGGACTTCTCTCATCAGCGACTACCAGAACAAAGAATCTATAGGCGATAATGAGGAAGGTGGAGGAGCACGACGAATAGGCCAATGTCAGTAGGTTTGACGAGCAAGACCAATCTTTGTTGCCAAAAATCTATTCGAGAAGCTGTGCGAGCAGTGACGCGAAGGCGGCCAACGGAGATACACGGCGCTTGCAATCCGCAGTTGAAATTGCAAAAAGCAGCTGCTATTCCTGCGCCTCATCGACGCTGCGGACGATGTGCCCAGCCAGGGCTTGTACATGCTACACAATTGTACAGGCAGGTATAGACGCAGTAGAGACTGGATGTGTAGAATAAAGTATTTCTGACAACAATGGCATATCCTGCATGGGCCTTCAGGGATACAATGGTTCTTTACATTTTTTCCTCTGAACATTCAAGCACAACTTCATGTAGAGAGGAAGTTCAAGAAATAAATGTGGAAATACGTGAAACTCTCCAGCAACAACCCACAAAAAGAAGACGACGTCCTGATCGGTGCAAAGTAATGGGCGGGTACCAAGCGTAAACATCTATTGAAACGAGAGAAGAGAAGAACAGACCGTCTATTTCAAACATTAAGGATTGGTAAGATGTCTGGAGTGCTTCTACCAGGACTTCGTCATTCTTCGCCTCGCTGGCTCAATCTGCTGGCTCGAGACGTCGGGCGTCACGGGGGACACTCCGAAAAGGGCACGTGGAATCGGGTATCCAGCCCGAGGTGTAAACAGTGGCTCAATGATCGCAACAAGCGCCGGGCACCACACCGATCAGTCCCGATCGACCGCTGATGCACCTGGACGGGCCGATCAATTCACGTTCTTGGCAAGTTCACTTCGTGGGACCGAGATTCGCGCTCAGCGATCGAATCGGCGTCTTGAAGGCTGACGTAGAATAGCAGGAACTATTGGGGAAAGAGGGAATGATAACCGCGGTCGTCGATCCTCTCCCCCCGGGGGTAACAGGGTTGGTGCTCCCCTTACGGTTCGCACGCTGCGCTTGCCCCCCATAGCGCACGCAGCAGAGGGAAAACCTCCCCCCTCTTATCCTGGGCCTCCCGTTGGAGGGACTTCCCGCCCTGGTCGGAGGGGGCCGGTTGACCGGCTCTTTGAAGGTCTTCGTCTCTTGGCCGTTGTTGCTCGAAGGCGCGAATTGGGAAGTGATCTATTGAAACGATGTTGTGCTATCATTGGCAGGACAAACTTTCAACTTCCCGCATCTTGCGTATGACGTACAAGAAATGAAAAATACGGCAAACGGCATTGATTCAAGCTAGTGCAAGATTTACTTGACTCGGAGTTTTTTTTTTTTTTTTTTTTTTTTTTTTGGTTTCTCGGAAAAGGACTAATGGCATGTAGCTGTCCTTTATAAAGGATCTTCCCCACCAAGATTGAAGCTGCAAGCCAACTTGTCCCGATACGTTGCAAAACTGTTTCCAAACCTCTTTCACAATCTAACAACGTCCGTCACGGCACTTGGCGGTTTCATATTCAGCCTCGTTTTCGTTTCTTCTCTTGTGTCGGTTCGAGCGATAAGCTGTCCCGTTATGTTCTATCCATTAACCTAAAAAGGTTGAGAAGCTTTGATCTTCCAGTCGACTTGCCAACTTTTCCTTCTTCATGTAGTTCCCATAGCCAAAATTTGTTCATCTCCAGGTCTTTGCTTCTTTTCCCAGCTACATCAAGGCATTATTGACATCGAATTGCAAGAGATAGATGAGCTTTAGTTGTCGGCAGAATATCTGGCATTCCTGATCTTAGACTCCACCTTCTTCATGAAGTCAAAGCACTAATTCAGCACGAAGATACTTCGGCGCGAGATTCACATATGCGATACGTGTCATGAACCTTTGTCGGTTATTGCAAGTGACGCTGCAATTTAGAAGAAAGTAGGCTGCTTGTTACCATGACGCCATATTCTTGCTGTCGTAACATATCTGCCTTCCTGCGTTGCAAGAAAGCGACCTAACTAAACTTGCAATATGTGCATGTGTTGGGATACGGGCATTCTTCATCATGCCATGTCTATTCCTCAGTATGTCAAGCCCAGGATATACCGCACATCTATCTAAGCAAGACTTTGTCCAGTGGCATCAAAGTTAGAGAGATTCCTTTTTCACCTATGCATGAAATGACACTCGGTTGTGACCATAAAATCGGTTCACAGGATGTTTGATAGCTACGACGCTGCTCCATGCAGTGGTAAAGACTCTAGAAGTCGCACAGTTCCAGATTTCTTGGTCTCGTCAGGTTCCAGAGCGCATGCATAAGCTAGTATTTGAATCCCGCTTTTGGCCGCAATGGCGCACAGTTCTGCAAATTTCTTGTCGTGCTGGATGGATGGAGCGAAAGCGGTGCAATCGTCACGCTGTACGAGAAAAACAATGGTTCCACTCACCTTGTGAGTTGCGGTCTCCTTCCTGTTTCCTAGACCTTTGGTCGTTGTGGACAGTAGATCTGTCAGCTCGGTGACATGCTTCTGAGCTCGAGTCGACACCGTGTCCGGAAATACAGCGCAGCGCGACGAGCTTTTGCCACGTCCGTCCATCGCTAATGTAACGCTTTTCACTTCAACATATTTTTCATGAACAATTGTGCCGTCCTTGGCGTTTGTGGTCAGCACAAAGTCTACACGACTGTTATTGGCAAACTTGACTTCGCGCCGCACAGAGTCATAGTGACCAAGCTCTGTCAACCACCGAGATGTGAGTGCCTGCTCAATCATTCGATTCGCAGAAGTCGAGTGTACACCAACCCAAACGTCTCTCTCTCCATTCTACAACACCAAATTATAAGTACACGAACAACCGAATAAAAACTACCCACCACGTACATTGATCTGAATCATCTCGAGCGTGTACGCATATTTGCGTTTCGGGTCGCTGCTCTTCGACAACTGCACACGAGCGTTCGGTAGTCCTTCCAACAGTCCCACCATTGGTCCCGTATTCGGACAGTATACAGTCACCACCTCTTCATCATCAATTATTCCATCTCCATCACTTTTTGTCCCTAAATTCTTGTCAACGATTTCAACCGTTTCGTCCTTTGCAATTCCATCGAGAAGTACGACATCAGCCAAAAACCGTTTGTAGCGACGAATAAGTCGCGCTGGGATTAAATTTGGGTATTTCAATAGGATTTTGTCATGGTCGATCGAGTCGGGATCCACTCGTTGTTTTTTCAATGCTGTTAGTATAGGGAATTTCGAGCTCGTTGGTGCTACGATGAACTTCGGTCGAAACGACGTCCTTTTTGGCTTTACGGTCTTCTTCTTTTGTGATTCAGGAGATGAATCATTGCTGGTAGTCATGACTGCAATAGTTGAAGTAAAATCACGCTTTTGACTGCGAAGTTGCATATTCGAAGTGGCCCTGCCGACACGATGTAAACGTGCCATGTCAGCCGCCCAAATATACTATATCGCCTGTCTAATGATGCGACAGGATTGGACTAAAATTTGGTTTTCGCAACAACTGTGGCTTAATCAAACTTGGTCGTTTTCTCTGATGAGGAGGCAGGCCCCGGGTTTTTGATCATACCACTTTCAGACTCGAGCTGGCAATAAGTCCTGCTGCAATAATTCGTGATACATCGATAAGATTAGCCACTACAGGCAAAGGCAGTCGTACATGCATGTCCACACCCTTGCTCGGCTTGATTCAGCTTGCGTCTCGTGCTAAGCTTGCCGCCATTATTTCCTCTACTCTCCACGACAGCATCATTGCTCACTCCATTCTTGGCTCGCTTCACTAAGTAAAAAGCTCTGCTTCAGTCGTTCTTTATCTCTTTGGCGCTGCTTCCAATCAAAAGCGGTCTACTAGGTTAGCCGCTCGAATTGTGCTCCTGCCGATAGAACGCACCACACGATCACTAGAAGCTATGCTGGTTCAAGTGACGCGAGTTGGATTATTTCGACCCAAACTCGGCTTCCCATTTCTCAAACCGACGGAGTTGATCGTGCCCCACTGACTTAGACACGTTGCTCAGCGCTTCTGCAAAATCTGCCTACTTACACGAAAAGTGGACAATTATTAGCCTCATTTTGACAGATCGAAAACACTGAAACACAAACATCATGTTCCATTTGCGCACCTTAGTGACCACAAGCCGTTCCATCTCAAATTCACGAAGTTCCTCGCCAGCTTCCATTTCTCTCCGCATCTTAAGGAGCAACTCTGGAGTATATACGCGCTTCACAGGCATCCGCTTGGCTAAAGAATAGCAACCACATATGCTGAACAACATGCTATAACGCACCCCAAATTACGTGTACTGTTAGACAATGAGATACTTTCCTGTTTCGCAGACATTGGTGATGTCATCGCCGCTGTAGCCCTGTAAAACACACACATATGCAAAAAATCAATGGAATCCAGTCAAACACACAAGCACAACCATGCACATACGTCCGTTTCCACAACGAGATCGTCCAGCTTCACATCCAGGCCCAGATCAATTTGCCCTAGGTTTAGCTCGAAAATCGCTCGGCGTGCTTTGGCTTCGGGTAAGGGAATGTATACACGCTTTGTCAGTCGCCGCCGCATAGCCTCATCAAGTTCCCAAGGAAGATTGGTAGCCGCAAGAAGCATCACTCGACTGCCATCGTGCTCCCCAGATGATACACCATTAATTTGAACAAGAAGCTCCGTTTTCACTCTGACCGCGCAACAATAAGCCGGTAAGGAAACAACCAAGAAAGCTCGGTGTTCTCGTGTACGAACCTGCGGCTCGCTTCATGTTCAGTTGCAGCACCTCTAGTCGACGCAATGGCGTCAATTTCATCCATGAAAATAATAGATGGCTCATAATAGTGTGCCATGTCAAAAAGTATTCGCACCATTTTTTCCGAGTCACCTCGATACTTCGATGAAAGTGTCGAGGCAGATACATTAAAAAAAGTTGTTCTGCACTCGTGTGCAACAGCCTAGCGCTCAAACAGAGCATAAATGAAGGTCAGTCTTAGTTTGTACGAACGCGTCTGTAAGAGAATCCGATACCTTCGCAAGAAGCGTTTTTCCTGTTCCTGGTGGACCAAACATCAGAATGCCATTGCATGGTTTAAGAAGCCCATCCTTAATTTAAATATAACAACCCTCGCATTAAAATGCCATAACCGACTCATGTCGGACGAGCAACCAAACAACGCAACAAACCGTGAACAGGTGCGGCGCAACTTGTGGAAGCATCACAGTCTCCTGCAAGAGCTGCTTCGTGTGCGCGAGGCCAGCAATATTTTCGAACGTGACTTGCTCTCCATGATCTACAATGTCCCGCTCAATAGTTTCAATAAGCTCTTGATCCACCCAACCGTTTTCTTTGGCCACCTCTGAGTATTTCACTTTGCCTGCAATGGTCTCTTGGTGCGACTCCGTATTATTTGAACTGGCTGTGCTTTGGCTACTCTCACGTCGCTTTGAAGACCGCGGCCCTTGCCCTATCTTTCGCTGCTTTGTATCTGCATTTTGAGTTGACGATACCCTACTGCGCTTTGCACCATTTGTAACGTTTATTTCTATCCAAAGTACACGAAAAAAAACAAGTATTCATCCCTTCAACACCTTCCATCATATAACAGCTAAAAGCTCCCTCCTACCATTTTCTAAAGACGACCTCGTTGCAGGTCTCATTGCACTCTTCCGAGATTGACAAAGCTGTCGTGCTCTACAACAAAAGAAAAAGTTAGCAATAATAGACACTTATCACGGCAATAATACCACGCACTTTGTCAATGTAGTAGCACGTGGCTCTCCTCGATGCATCCACAATGGCACCTGTCTCTCCTTTGCTCGTTGAACCATTGTAGTCGACTGCCAACAACCATATCAACACAATCAGCTTCAACCTACAGCCAAAGCTGCAGCTTTAAGTCGTCTCACTTTCTTGGTAGTCGCTGTTTTCTCTACAGCAATGGTTTCTTTCGTCTGTCGCAGTCTCTTGTCCCTCACGACCTTATTACGCCTCTGTAATCCTTGAAATTTCCTTGCTACGATCTTCAAACCTTGTAGTGTACTAAGATATTCCAGAATCGTACGATATTCTCGCTCTAAATCCTTTAAGAACTACAATAACATAATTAAATTAACTAGTAAAATGAAATAATAGTTTTATTTATGACTGTACCTCTCGTGCATCTGGATCTCCACTGAGCTGCAACTTCAGCGTCCTTTGTACTTCACGAAACTCGATAATGCCCTTGTCATAATCACCAATTAGACACAATTCTCTTGCACGCAGCAGCGCTTGGTGCGCACTCAGTGCGGTAGCGACGTTGACCATTGTGAAATGGTTTTGTTGCATTTTGATTGGATAAAAATAAAACACCAAAAATGGTGCATTGTACACCATCTACCGTCAATCAGTCGTTACCGGTAGTTACCGGTAGTTCCCGGTAGTACCATTCTAGATTCAACTGGTATACCGGTAGCACCCTCTGTCTACGCCATGCCGCCACGTAGCGCCCCGGTCGAAAGTCACTCGCCATCTCGCACCTTAAGAGACGTAGATAGACAATATGGAAATGCTGACTGATTTACAGATCGTAGCTATCATTGTGACAGGTGTAACAGCTGCGTTACTGATCCTAGCAGCTCGTGTCCTCATGCCACAGAAGACGGATGACGTGGACGAGTCGTTACAGGCGATGATCAATGGCTTTGATTTTGCTTTACCCGATGAAATTGAGCAATACCGTCAGGGTAAATTGGATCACCCGGAAGATAAGGATCTGTGTTTTCAGCTCTTGTTTCGTCGTGCTGTGGCTGATATTCCATTGATTCGAAAGATTCAATCGGAAAGCTCAGGCATTCAACGTCTAAAGAAGAATGATATTCTTAAAGACAGTTCATTTCTTAGTTATAAATTGGCCGAAGAGATGATTAATGAAGAGATTAATGACGTACGTCGAGAAGCGGAAGAGCTCAAACCAGGTACAGATTTGAGAAAATAAAGTGGGCTACATTATGATGCACTATGGGCTTATATATGGGTGATTGTTGATGATGATGATGTTGATATAGGTGAGGGCTGGCCAGACAAGATTTTTCCTCAGGCCGTGCAGTTTATGAACCAAGTGGCTGAACAACAAATGGAAGCACAGCGGAAAGCGGCAGAGGAACAGGTAAAGGTCATGCAGGCAGCACGTGCCAAGACGATGGCACAAGCGGAAGCTGCAGAAACTGCTATTAAGAACATTGAGGCGAAAAAGGCAGGCAATGATAGTGAAGACCTGACGCTGCGGAAGAGGAAGTAACAATGGCCTGTTATTGATGATGGAGCGACTTGTCTCTGTCATCTCTTTCGTAAGAGATGCCTCTTTACATTTGGTCTTTTTTACTTCACGGCTTCGACCATTTTTGGTAAGATAGACAGTTTCGCTGAATGAATTCGTGTGTGTTTGCTTTGCTATTGATTTCTTCATGCATCGTCGCTGATTGTCACGGACGTAATAGCTTGTAGGACGTGGTCAACGCTGACGATGTGTTGCAGTGTAGCTGCCTGAAGCTCTCGTACTGCAGCTAGCGACAGTGCTAGCGATGGGACATTGCTACCCATTAGATGAGTTTCTGTCTTCTTTTGAATAGCCTCCTTGCTGCAATTGTGAAAGACCGGGAAATCACTATTCATCCCGCAGCGCACACTGATCCGCTGAAGCTCTCTCGCGACAATCGCTTGAGCCGCGTTCTGCTTCATGTGGCGCTCCATCCGCTCCTTTTGAGACGAAAAAGCCCAATCGCCGAACTCCAATGCCTGGTAGACGTAGGTCCGATGTCGAAGTGGTGCTGATGCCAATGTTGTCTGCTGCATGCTGCCATCACCAAAGAAAAAGGAGCAGCACTCGCTATCGCGGTCAACTTGAAGGATGGTACGATCTGCAAAAACTACGCGAACACGACCACCACGGAATGCACGGAAGCGTCCATGCTCATTATTTACCTCCTCAATTAGCTCCAGCTCATTTGGCTGCGATAAAGACGATGGCAAGACATCCTGGTTAAAAGTGTGGGAAGCGTACTTGAAAGCTTGGAGCACGTAGTCGATATGTTGACAAAACAAGATAGCATGCTTTGTGTCGATAGTAGTTGCAGGTGGAATTGTTTCGCGCGTGAATCGGTGCTGAGGTCGCCCGCCTTCGTCATACCACGTGAAAAAACCATCACACTCCGTCAACAACGATAGTTCACCGTCCACTTGCACCTAGCCGTTTGATACCACATCATGCGTTTAATAAACCTTTAGGCATAACATATGCCGCAACATTGCCAGTACGTACCATAATTTCTGGCAGACAGTTACGTGGTCTGCGTGATACAAACAGCGTTGCATCTTCCCCAACCATTTCTGCCACAACACGATGGTACAACATCTTGGACGGAAGTGTAGCAACTCGCAGTATCTCTGCTAACATCAGACAATTCTCTTCATTTCCAGTCATGTGAACTCCATCACTACTCGTAGCAATGATTGAAAAGGTCGGACGAGCAGTAAAAGCTTCATTTCCTGGTAGCATTGAGACTCGTTTGTTCAACTCCATGTCTTTATCCTCCCGTGCATACTCCATCTCAGCTTCTTGATCCTTCTCCCATGCTGCTTTTGCTTTCAGTAAGATATTTACTGGAAAGTCAAAACTCTCTGGTATCTGAACAATTGTAAATGACTGATGTATCGTGGTATAATGTGCATATCTGCTCGCTTCTGCTTCAACTTCGACACTGGGGTCCGAGACTTTGACCTCTATAATATAATACACCTCCACCAACTTTCCACTTGGATGCAATTGAACTTTAGCTGCTCCTTCAATCGATTGCATCTCAAAGCATTTGTCCTTGCTATTGTACAATCTCGAGACTTTCACCTTCCCCTTAGTAGTTGGCCATCTCGCACGAAGCACTCTGATTCGTCGGTGATAGCGTATGTCTTTTTTATGCATCAAACGTTGATGTACATACGGTGACTGGAGTGTAACCCGATTGCGTAGAGTAAGAATATCACTAACAAGAGGTTGATGACTCGATAGAGCAGTAAGTGTCAAGTGCCGTGTGCGAGTCCCATCTGGACGAATATACGTATACATGTGACTTGAAGGCTCTAGTACTACAATGTGCGTCTCGTGAATGTTACGCATGTAACAGCCAATGGCAGTACCATCCGTTAGCACGAGACACCGCCGGCGCTTCGTATGTTGTGGTAACATTCGATTCACATGTAAATTGTCTGAAAAAAGTTGCGTTATAGTAGCAACATTTAATGTTGTTGCTTCGTGCAACATTCAATTGTACTCCGTGCAACATTCAATGTTGCTTCGTGCAACATTCAATTGTACTTCGTGCAACATTTGCTGCAATAATGAAAGTGTTTGTGAATGGGAAAATCTGGCAATGGGCGGGCGATAACTCCGTCGCTAATGGGCCATTTGCAGAGTGGATGACTGTGTCGGATGATGGACGTTTTATTGATGTAGGCGTAGGTGATTCTCCTCATTCTGATGACGTGGAGGACCTACACGGTGCATTAGTATTGCCAGGACTGCACGATTCCCACATTCATGTGTCGATGATGGGCGAAAGCGCCGAGTGGCTCGATCTTTCCGGCTGCAATTCCTATGAAGACTTTATAGATCTTCTAAGAAGATATAATGCACACTATTCTGAGAAATCATGGATTGTGGGCTTTGGTTGGACACAGGATGAACTCTCGAGCACTGCCAAGTATCCATCTCGATACGATATTGATGCAGTGATTCCGGATCGCCCCGTGATTTTACATCGAGCATGTTGGCACATTGCAGTCGTGAATACAAAGGCTTTGGAGATTGCAGGTGTCGAGGTGACTGCAAAGAATCATGATGTCAAGCATGGAACTATCGATGTGGATGAGAAAGGAGTGACGGGTATTTTAAGAGAAGATGTAAAGCTGTAGTATGTGAATGAGATAAGGACTTGGTATGGGAGAGTTTACGCAACGTGATGTGATGGGATACAGGCCGTGCAGATAGTGGAAAAGCACGCAAACGAGCCATCCTTCGGTCAGGTCACTAGCGATAGCAGTGTGGTATAATTACTGACAGTATTTTTTTGTACCTTGATGTGTGTATGATACTGTAGACGTGCGTGTGAAGTACTACAAGAACGCGCTAAAAAAGTGTGTGAGCTCGGGTTTGACTGCTGTTCACACGAACGATGAGGAGGCGTGGTCTGTGTATAGTAAACTGCAGGAAGAGGAAGGCCTTCCAGTTCGCGTGTACCTGACGCCGTCGATCCACGAGTTAGGCAAGACTACGATTCCTAAGGCTGGAGATTGTGATAGACTCATATCGTGCCACCGCATAAAGATTTTCAGTGATGGCAGCCTTGGAGCGGTAAGGAAATATCGCATCGATCGACACAGCAATGAAAGAGTGACGTCGGATGTTTCGAACTTGTCCAGGAAACGGCAGCACTGCGGGCTCCGTACAAGGGTACAGACAACAGAGGGATTCTCATGAATTCTGATGAGGAACTCGTTACGAAAATTAGCAAGGCGAATAATGCTGGATATCGTGTCGAAATCCACGCAATCGGTGAGTGTTGCTGGAAAGATCAAGATGTAGTACTTATGGTGCTTCTAATTTGACTCGTGCTCTGCTGAACAAGGTGATCGTGCAGCGGAACAAGTACTGGCAGCTCTCAGAATGGCTCATGTTGGGCCGGAGAGACGTCCCATTCTCACGCACTGCCAGATCCTTGGCAACGACTTGATTTATCAAATGCACGAGCAAGGTGTGATTGGCAACATTCAACCGTCATTCACATTGACTGACGCAGCCTATGTGCGCAAGCGCTTGCAAGACGACGTTATCCCGTTTTCGTATTGTTGGAAGCGCATGTTGGACGGCAATGTTGTCTGTGCTGGAGGAAGTGACGGGCCCATTGAGACATGCAATCCGTTCCAAGGCATGTACGACGCCATCTACCGCCACAAGCCGGACCGGCCCGAGGAGGTGTTTTTGCCGGAAGAGAAACTTTCGTTTAACGAAGCTCTTGCGTTGTACACGAAAGGTGGAGCATTTGCAGCAATGGAAGAGAAGACATTGGGCCAAATTGTTTCCGGCTTTTGTGCGGACTTTGTGGTGCTTCGCAAGGACGTGACGCAAGACCATAGTGCATTGGTGGCACCTGACCTTGTGAAAAGTGTCTGGGTGAATGGAAAAAAGACATACGAATATGATCCTGGTATATCGGAAGACTCGCAATATGATTTCAGCAAGAGTTTATTGCCAGGCAAGAATGGTTCTTTGTCCATTTGTCGATGCTGCCGGCATTAAAATGTATGACCGAAATATTCAAGGACAATATATTGTGCTTGTCAAATAAATTTCAAAAATTTCGAATTGCGAGGTCGTGAAGTACACAATTTCTTCGAAGTGCACAAATTAGAGATCAAATTTGTGTGGCGCCACTAATTTGTGTTTTGGCGCCAACACCAAAAGCAACAAATTGATAAGGACATGATGGACTTTGGTGGTGCTGCTGCGACTGGTAGTAATGCGACGTCTCCGCGTGTGAACAAGAAGACTATGAAGGCCTATATAGGCCACACAGTCGCTCTCGTTGGTGCTGTAGAGAGCCACTCGCCCACTGCCGTCGTCCTACGCACTTCTGTAAGCTTATTTCTGTAACAATTTGCATGAAGAGGAGGTGGATTCACTGTTGATTTGGGTTTTGCTGGTGTTAGGACGGGGATATTGTCAACGTTACACCACAGCCAGGCAGTGACTATGGTAGCAAAGTTGTGGAAGTGATTGGGCGAGTTGTGGACACGGAGACGATTCAGGAGTTTAAGACGACGCTCTGTGGGGACAACTTTGACCTGGACGTATATGATCAGTTTGTGCAGCTCTCACAGACCAAGTACAAGCATTTATTTGTGTAGTGTCGGGTATATAATGATGTGGCTGATGGGCTGTAGTTGAAAGGTCAATGAGGATAGATTGATACGTTCATTTGAGATGCTATTCTTCTTCATTTGATCTACTCAACTGATGCTTCAAGAAGCCTCCGTTGCAGGTCCCCACATTGCAAGCACGTTCCCAGAACCCGAAAAATAGTATCTACAGTCCAGCTAAAAGGCTCTACCACACGTGCTCGTACTTTAGATGAACCATCTCATCAATGCTCGCTGCAAGAGAATCCTGTCAATCCAGATTGTCATTTCTTCTCCATATACAAGACGTTCGTTGATTAGTTTCGTACTTTACCGATATTAGGTAGCCATGTCATTGAATAAATATGTGGCAGCCAATCATCATCCAGCAGACTCATGTATCAGTCACTAAGTACAGGTTTAAAAACACCTTTCTCACATTTCGGAGGTATACATATACAAACATATTTCCTTAAACCCAACCCATCCTTATTTATTTCCTTTTACTGGCTCTTTTTCTACCAATAAGAGATGGCTCCCCCCTCTTTCTGACCGCTTTAAGCACGGTATAGCTGCCTCGGTTACGAAGAAGGCCGTCAATCTCTAGTGACCATTTAAGCGCTTCCCTTTACGGGTTAAAACATGGCGACTCCAAGTAGTAACATTGAGGCAGCTGTGACACCTCCTGATGTCATTCATTGTCCATCAAAATTGCTCCCAACACGTGCAGACGCTCCTGAAGTAGTCAATGAACCCGTGACACTTGAAGAGCTTGTCCCGTCTACGGTCGTGCGGAATAGAAAGGACGATCAAGAACGCACAAAAGAGGAAACGATTCAAAAAACTGCCATTGAGCATATTGAACTGACCACTGGTGACGGTATGAACGACAGGAGTGACTGTGACCTCTTGGAAACTGAGATCATGATGGAATTATCAGTTATTGAGGATGAAGAAGAAGATGATGAAGAAGAATTTCATGAAGCAATGGAAGAAGAAGAAGAAGAAGAAGAAGAAGAGTGCTGTTGATATGTTGGAAGAAGATTTAATCATGTTGGAAAAACAACCAACAGTTCCTCCAACCATGAGCTTTTCCGTCAATGAAATGGAAGTGATTACAAATCGAGATGGACGAACGGGTAGTTTGTCGAAATTTCTAGACGATGCCGATTCGTATCGTCGTCGATCATTACCATCGTATCCGGATGACCAGATGTTTACTACATCTATGAATCAGAAAAAAATGACACTTACGGCATTTTTAAACATGCAAATTGATCCTGTGTTAGAGATTCTAGAAGATACGGACTCGGAGATTCGACTCTGGTTGATGCAGCCCGAGACAGTGAAAGAGGTGCTGGCGGAATTTGTTACCCCACCTGTGCTTACTGGAGAACCGCATGAGGAATATGGCTATTACAAAAAACATTTCTTGTGCTCGGAAATCATTATGAAACTCTACACGGGCGAAGAAGATTTGTATGAGTCTTTTTCGTCCGACTCGAGTTCGGGATCCACTGCATCTACGGCCGTCTTTGGCTGTCAGGAGCAGGAGGATGTGGACAAGTGGGAACAATTGTACTCGATCTTTAAGAATCCCATTCCGCTGGATGAGATGCAGCTTTTGTTCTTTAGCAAGGCGCTTGTGCGTCTGCACGACGGATTTTGTCTTGAGGAAGGCTACGTCAACAACGTGCTCAAGCGATTCTTGCCAATGGTCATTCCGCATTTATACTCGAACACCATTAAGTATATGCTCACGCTGATTCTGCAAAGCTATGAGAGTGTGCACCCGATTACCGGTCGCAATGACGCCATGGAAATTGCAGCGCCACTGATTGCCAAGACTACCCGCGTAAACCCATCATTACAGGAGAATTTGCCGCTTGTGGAGAACGCAACTACCCTTCTTGTCGACATGCTTCAGGCAAATCAGGCTGATCGGTTAGGTGCATTTAGTCGTCGTGAGGGTGGTGTGTATCTGTCCAAGTATTTTGTGCGCGACCAGTTTGGTACGATCCGTGGTTTTGAGTCCATGACGCATGGCTACCACAACTTTCTCCAATACATGCTGCTGGAAGAGATGTCAAAGCAGCCTGATATTGTGGAAGAAATTTTTAGAAATGCTGCGGAGGAGCTTTGCATTATTCGTGACAAGATGCTGAATGAGGTGTCTAGTGCTCTGAACATCCACGTGGCGTCTGAGTTGTTATCACTGTGCCAAAAGTTGTTGAGTGAAAGCACTGAAAACGAGGACGACAATAGTCAAACAGCTGACACGGAAGTTCAGAATACGCAAATGTTTGGATACTCTGGCTTTTCATCAGAGCAGTATTCGAGCTCACCGCATGACGCTAACGAGACGTCCATGTACAATTTGACGTCTCTTCCTCGCAGCCATGCGCTCTGGACACACGTGCTTGATGTGGCTCGAAAATCGTGTGGCTCATTCACGAAGCATCTAAACAATGGGCTTCCATCTTCCGTAGAGATTTCGTTGGCGAAGTATCTGAACAACCTTGTGCTGCTAAACGATGCTACCGTAGACGAGGAGCTGCACAAAAGTGGCCTTATACAGGCTTACCTTGCCATTCTTGAAAAGCGATCATCATTTGACATGCTCATCATCCACATTGTACCGGCAATTTCTTTCCTTCTTCGCGACGCTGATGCTTCTCGAGCAAAGAATTGCCCACTGACGAAAGATCTTTTCGGCATTGATATTAAGGTGCCCGAGAACATTATTAGCTTGCTGTTACGTGCAAAAGTCGATATTCCGTCGCTCGATATCTATGCTGCCATTTTGCACGATGTGATTGATGAAGTTTTTACAAGCAAGGCGCCATCCCAAAACAACGCGCAGGTTGTGTTTCATTGCAAGCGTAACCCTGCGTGGGCAAAGCTCTCGGAGAAGACCCGATTCAGCAGTGGTTCTGAAACGTCGGACTTGGGGCGTGGTTCTGATGAGAGGGGAAGCTTAATGAGTGAACAGACGGCGGCAAGCGAACTTGTTGAGTCAGCTTCAAGTGTCGAAGGGGACGATGCTCCGGGGACGGATCAGTCTAACGAGGAACAAAACTCAGCGTCTACTGATGAAGATACACAGACAACAGCAGAGCGTATCTCTTTAGACAGAAATAGCTCAGCCAAAGAATGCTTGGCACCTGAGTCGGCGCCGACTCTTCCAAGCTCTCAGAGTACTGATGTGGGTGATGGACAGCCAACGGATCCAGAAAAAAATGAAGATTCGCGCGTGGATTCCAATGAGGCACCGCGCGCTGTAGCTGCTGCCGCAAACGAGGCGAATGTGGCGTCTCCTTCCTCGAAAAAGGAAGCATCTAAGGAAGAGAAACCCGACACGAGCAGAAACAGCGAGAGTGATGGCTCGCGCAAGTCGCACTACTTTAAGAACGTGCTTCAGTCACCAGTGTTTAAATCTCCCATGCGCCTGGGCTCCGTCATTAAACCTCCGTTTGCTCCACAAGCTCAAGATTCTAATTCCTCGCAGGCAGATGGAGAAGGCCAACAGCGCAACACGTTTGGCTGGAACAGTGTGTTCAAGCGTTTACGGAAATCACTCGTGACAACACACAATGAGAAGATAGACAAGAAGGTATTGGCGCTAAGTAACGAAGCTTACGCCTCGCCGAATGTGGCTCCACGGCAGACGGATGTGTTCGTAGTGGATACATCTCGTGGCGAGGACGTCACAACGTTTGTGAACCGCGATGCGGGTGTGATAGTTACCGATGTTCCAGTGGCAACATCAAAATCTTCCGAGTCGTCGATGAACGTTATTACGTCAGGTTACATGTATAAGAACAAATATCCTGAGACAGGTCACAGAAATGTATGGGAACGATACTACTTTGTTCTCAACCGCTCGGACGGCTCTTTGAGCTATTACATCAGCGAAGCTCACGCTAAGGACCGCACCTTTGTTCGAGGCACGTCGCGTCCGCTTACGGTGTCGGAGGGCCTACCGCTGCATGTACATGGTCAATACAGCGTGTTTGGATTCCAAATTAACACACAAGGCCACGGCGCGTTCATGGTTTTGGTGGACTCTATCGATACTCGTCTCACGTGGCTGACGGAAATCTTGGTGTGTGTATCTAATGCCAACCCATCGCTCCCGCTTCCAAAGCAACGTCTATCACTGCAGCCTGACGATGCAGCAAAGCAGCGTTTGTCAAGTACTACGAGCTCGCTTTGCTCGCTGAAGTGCAGCAAGGAGGAGATGAAGGAACTAGTTATGGAGTTTTACCGCAATTTGTTTGGCCCGAACCTGAAGTTTTCGTCGCCGCTGGATGCGCCGGCGTCCTTTTGGATGGAAGAAAAGATTGATCCTGTATCCGATGGTTGCGTGCTGAGCTCTAATCTGCCCGACTGCGTGCCTTATTGGGGCGAGTTTCACGGTTACAAGCGACTATGTGACTACTGGAAGATTCGTGACGAGACGGTGGAGCGCAGCAGCGGCCGTGTGCTTCGTGTCTTGGTTGATGAGGACGAGGAGACAGCAGCGGTGATGACGTCCACAACGTTTCGCATCTTGCGCAATAGCGAGATTGTAACTGAAGAGTCGTGTGACATTGTGAGTGTGAGCGGCGGCAGCATTGTAAGCATCCACTGCACCTTTGACTCGCATCGCATCGCGCAAGCTTTTAAAAAGTACGCATTGTCTGATGGTTATATTTGCGCGTGCATGTCAAAGGATAGCAGCCTTATTTTCTAACTTTTGTGGTTTGCTTTGTTGATCTTGTAGGGAAGGTATTAGCGCCTCGTAGACGTCCCTCCGTTCATTATGCTCGTGATATGCGTGCTAGTGCGTGTACGTGTGTGTTGGAACGAAGACGCAAGGGATGCAGATGGAATAAGTAGCAGCGTTGTGAATGAATCGATGGTGACAAGAGCGATTGCAGCAAGAAGAAGGGCTTTCTGCCAAGTCTCTCTTCTTGGTGTATTTTCATCATGATGTAGAAGAGACCTAGAGCGAGAGAGTTGACAAAGAATGTATGTGTGTGTATAGTCCATTTTGCCCTTTTGCCACTCAGTCAGTACCTTTTTAGCAATAAAACCTACTATACCATCATTTCGCTGTTTTTACAGTATAAGCAAGTAAAAACACAACTGTTTATGCAAGTCGCTGTCCCAACAAAGTGTCACATTAGCCACTGGTTTTGGTGCTTGGGGGAGCTCTGAACGTCCATTCTGAATCGTGCATACGACCCCTTTTTCTTGATCATGATGCGCCGCATCTTTATGAACCGTTCACTGCAGACTTTATCGACTGCTGATCATCGTGTGTCTCCTCTATTACGTCGTGTCTTCTTTTCGTCGTTACCGGATGGTGTATCTGCCATAACAATGCCGTCTTTGTCGCCTACAATGGAAACGGGATCTCTGTCTTCGTGGCTCAAAAAAGAAGGCGATGAAATCTCTGCAGGTGACGTCTTGTGTCAAGTAGAAACGGACAAGGCCGTTGTAGACTATGAGATACAAGACGATGCTGTGGTGGCAAAGATTCTGTGTCCTGAAGGAACACCTGACCTGCCCATTGGTGCCTTACTCGCCTACACTGTAGAAGACTTGGACACATACAAGAGTTTACTGGACAATGGAGCACTTGCCAACTTGTCTTCTGAGACTGAGACTGAGAATGTAAAGCCAGTGGAACTCAAGGAGGAAAAGGAGGTGAAAGAGACGACTCGTGTACCGCTTATCAAGTTCTTAGGCAAACGTGCGCTCCTTAAGGAAAGTAGTCACTCACCAGTCAAAGAACTGGAGAAGGTTGAGGCTGCAACGCAGTTTACGGACCCAGTGCAGCCAGAGGCAGAAGCTGCACCGATGGACCCGATTACTGCTGATGCTGACGCCAAGTTTGAGGACCTTCCATTGTCCAACATGCGCAAGATTATTGCCAAACGCCTGAGTGCATCCAAGAGGGATGTGCCCCACAGCTACACGAGCATTGACTGTGAGATTGACAACATTATGAAGCTACGCAAGCAGCTTAGGGGTAAACATGATGTCAAAGTTGGTATGAACGACTTTATCCTCAAAGCGGTGGCTTTGGCGCTGCGTGATGTGCCGGAAGCCAATTGCTTTTTCGATGTCAAAACTCAGAGCGTGCAACCCAACTCGTCGGTGGACGTGTCGGTAGCTGTAGCTGCTCCGTCGGGTCTCATCACCCCTATTGTGCCAAAGGTAGACACTCTCGGTCTTAGTGGAGTCAACCGCATATTTATGGAGCTCGTGTCGCGCGCGCGTCAGAACAAGCTGAAGCCAGAGGAGTTTCAGGGCGGATCATTTACGGTGTCTAACCTCGGCAGCTTCGGCATTGACCAGTTTCGGGCTGTGATTAATCCGCCGCAGGCCTGCATTCTGGCCATCGGTGGCGGTCGTAGAGAGGTGCTGCCGCCTCTGGAAATCGTGGAGAATGTCAACCCGGAGCCGCGTATTGCTACGCTCATGAACGTGACGTTGTCGTCGGACCGTCGCGTCGTGGACGGTGTCATTGCCGGCCAGTTCCTGCAGGTATTCAAGAGCTACATGGAGAGTCCAGAGCTCATGGTCCTATAACTAGCTTCGACGTGTAGAGCGCTAGATCCATCAGCCCTTCACTACCAATAGCTGGAAAGCGTGACGCGAGTTCCGCTTTAAGATGAGGCTCTTGACGACTGACGGAGCTTCTGGAAGAATAGTAGACCGCGCGCGAGTAGTTTCCGTCATCCTGAGCGATAACATGGGCGTACGTACGCTGTCTCCCCGTGTTCCTTTCGCTTATGTTGGCTTTCTTGTTGTCGTCTACGTGTTTGTTTTTCCAGCATCAATTAGTTGGGAGACTACAGTTTGGAAACTGATGCCGTCAAGCAGGCTCTAGTCGTTGCAATAGAGTCCACAGCACCGGAGCAACGATAAAGCATTCGTAGTCATTCTAGTACCCGTCTCCTGTCGATTACGTGGGCTAAGCAGTGCCGGCTGCCAGTTGACGATGGTGTCTTGAAACATCTCCGTTACTCGGCGGAGGTAGACGCCACTACTCACATCCTATCTCTTTGTTGTTCCTTGATAGCGACCGCCCAGAGAAGGACCTGTTTGACTTCTGCTACCTCTTGCTCCGTGGACGCACGTTCCTGCTTACAGTTCCGCTGAATCCAGAGCGTGGTTACGCAGACAAAGCAAGCTATCCACCATATTATTTTCCAGGTCCGGCCAAAAATGTCTGCGTTGTCTGGAAACACGTGCGTGATAGCCGCCCGCACTCTTGGAAGTAACTCCAATGCCAACCGCAATAATGCTGCTTGATTGTCAGCAGGCGGGATATCTCGTGCATGTCGAGTCCCGGGAAGTACGGATTCAACTGATAAGTAGCTACTCTGTAGCAAACCCAGATTTGGTTTTCCGTAAGCATTGGACCGCCATGACGCTAGAGAGCAATAGTGCAGCAGACAATACCACTGCAACACAATCGCGTGCTTTTGGCTTGCGTGTGCTGCTTCGCTATGGGGTTCTCCTCGTTCGACGTATCACCTCCTTGCTCGCGTCCATCCAGGAGGAAAAGCTATCCCAGTGAAAACCAGTTGACTGCGCGCCGTGCCGTCGATATGGCAGAGTCTAGAGCAGGTGCAAGCCAATTGCTCGTCTGACGTCAAATGATGACGAGTATGCGGGACATCTGCGCTGCAGCATCTTGGTCCATGGGTAGGAGGACCGATTGAAGACCGCTTGTGATAGATTTGATCGACTCTGAGTGAGTGGACCGGTGCCTCACTACTTTTTTCTGCAAAGTATATCACTTAGACGGTTGCTTCGAGACAACAAAGGTCATCTCGTCCCGTCCGGTGGACGGAGACTTGCGCTAATGTAGTGAAGTCATGTCATGTCAATTGTCGTATGGCATACCATCGGCCATTCTTCATTTTTGGTAGCTCAGGACGTCTGTGCCAGCAAAAACCTTTGGGCCAGTGGGTATCGCTCCATGTGAGAGTTGTGGTCAAGCTTCCCACAAGCGATGCAGCCGGTGCAAAGCTTTTTCAGTGTGTCGTCAAGCGTGCATGGTAGCCAAGGCCAGTAAAGCTGGTAATCGTTGGACCAATACATGTGTTAGTACAAGTATGAATCGTCTTCGCAAAAAAGCGCAGCAGAGCATCAGCTTTGACACTGGTGTGCATCTGTCCATTAATGTACTCTATCTCCCCAACTCACTTCCATTCGGTTCACAAGTTTATCTACTGATTCGTAGCCCTTAGCAACCTTCGGGTATATATTCGCTCATTCTACAACTTGTCCTGCAGCCCCTTACCTTCAGCCGATCATGCGAGTCCACGTTCAATTGTTCCTTGCAGCAGTTGCAATCACGCATATTATCAAAGCCGAGCCAACACCTTTCGTCGGTGTGAGCACGAATAATTCATCCACCGAGTCAAGCTCTACTGCGGCGAGAGACAAAGGTGACGGGATGACGAATGTGAACGTTTTGGTAAAAGAGGTTCTTGCCGAAGAGAAGACAAGAAGAACTATCGCCACTAGTAGTCCGACTAAACCCTCTGAAGAGTTAATTAATACTGCGGATAGAGACGACGGTGAAAGGATATTCGAGAGGTTTAGCGTAATGGTCGCAAACATTTTGGATGCAGTACATTCCAAGGTGGGCAATGTCGTTGGGATAACCGACATTTTACAACCTGAGGGGTATAATTTGTTCTTGAAAGTGGCCACGAAGCATCAAAAAGATTCAGCCTCAGCGTTCGCTCCGTTAAAGGAGAATTTTGATGACAAACAAATTGCAGAACTCATCGTATATGCCCAGACGAAACCAGAACATAACGACGTCGTTATAAAATTGGAAAAAGCGCTAATGGATTATTGGAAGAAGCAGAAGAAATCTGCTGATGAAGTGTTCAAGCTGCTGAGACTTCATACAGTTGAGGATGGCGTGCTTACTAATCCAGTCTTCAATCAATGGTACTCCTACTTTGAAATGGTCAATGCGAAACATAGCAACAAGGAATCGGTCATCGACTTCTTGAGCAGTAAGAAGGGGATGAGCTCGGTGAATTTTAGTAACGATGAGGTGGAAAAGGCGAACTTTGAAACAAAAAGCAGAGTTGATAAACTGTTCGTGGATCTGAGACTGAGAAGGGTTGGAGGCCGCCTGTTTGCTGATCCACTCTTCAATTTTTGGCGTGCCTGCTTGGAGAAGTTCAATGCGGCACATCCCAAAAATCCCCGAACAAGTGTTATCCAGTCGTTGCGAACCGTTTACGGTGACAAAGGATTAGTGGACCTTAGTAATGCTGAGCGAAAGGTCACGGACTCCGTGAAATACGCTAGTCGTTTGGAGAACGATTTATTTGCGACCTGGCTGTCAGATGGAAAGTCATTAGACGACGTGTTCAAGTTTCTTGATCTCAACCATGCAGGCTATAAGTTGTTGGAAAACCCTTCGATGGAGACATTTGCCAAGTTCACACAGGTTGTCAGTATGGATAACAAAGAACTTCCAAGGATGAAGGAGGCGAGATTCGAGGAGCACGAGATTCTTCGAGGTATAAAAATTGCATCGAGTACAGGAGGGCTGCGGTCTACATCTTTGGAAAAAGCTCTCTTTCGACTGTGGTTTACTCAAAAGAAACATCCAGAAGAGGTCTACAAGATGTACTTTGGTCAAGACAAATTGAATGGAATTTCTGAAAGACGAGGGCAATCTGTTTGAAATCCCTCTTTTCATGACTTTCGTCAAGTACTCGGAGGGTTATTCCAGAACCAAAAGACTTTTAACACATATGGCAAAGTACGCATACGCAGGTCATGAGTTCGACATGTCATCAGTGTTACAAAAAGGGTTCGAAGACGAGATGGACAAATTAGGTGAAATGATTATGTCGGTGAAAGAGTCATCGAGCAACTCCGTGAAAGCGTCATCAAGTAAGCCCATGAAAGCGTCATCGAGTAAGTCTGTGCACGATTTCTCGAGTAAGTCTGCGCTGTTTGCTGCTGAACGAGTGGAAGGTGGTTTGTTTCGTATTTGGAACGCTGAATTCTTACTAGATGAAGTTTTTGAGCTTTTGAAGCTGAATACCAAGATGACGCCTGCAGAGCTGTTCGGAAACCCTTCGTTTCGTTGGTGGATTGATTATTCGGATTTTTTTGTCAAACAAGTTACGCGTACTGAGAAAACAGGGAAAACCTTGATGGAAGTATTTGAGCCTTCAACTAATCTTGCTTGGCTTCGAGATGCGCGAGAAGAAGAAACTACGAAAGAACTAGCTGACAGGGTGTGGACCAATCTGCTGAAGGAACATTTACAAGCGAATACCAGCCCGGATGTAATTGAGACGAAGTTAATGGTACCGCCAAAATCATTCCACGACGAGAAAGTTTTGAAAGAGTACGAGCATTTGTACAATAAAAGAAAAAATGACGCTGAAGAGAAAAAGGAAGAAAGCGTGGGAAACAAATACAAAGCTGCAAGAAGAAAGGCGAAAGAAATTGTACGAAAGAAGAAGAGCGAAAGAACTGGAGCCAGAAATGAAGAAGACAAAGAGAGAGGAAGTTTGGAAATAGATTGACACACCAGCGGCTAATCAAGAAAGCGAAAGAAAAAACTAGGAATTGTTGACTGTGTACGCGAAAACGCCGTGTGTGTTCCTTACACGCCCTCATGGAGTGATTGACTAGCATTGTCAGCCACTACATCTTCGATCTTCAATATTGAGCAGATCAGGGTCGTTTCGATAGCTTGTTTGAATGACACCACCTAACGTTTGGCCACTGCACTGCCTCCGTCAAAGACCTTTTGCCACTGGCCCTGCATGCCACGATTTTCCCCAAACGTTTCTCAGACACCTTTGCAAGTTAGAAAAGTAGAACTCCTACACTTACCTGCTTCAGCTGGCGGGTTCACCGAGCACCGCAACTGCCTTCTCGCTCTATGGTGATGAACTTTGACACATACGTCAACAAGTCAGACGACACGAACTAGTATGTGCCCTTGGTCTAAAATACCACAACTGTACACATGCTTTGGAGCTATATGAGCAGCCACACGCACTCGCTGCTTTATTAAGTCACACATCGTGTCAGTGACGATGCTTTATCAATGATAAGTCATCGGACGGACTCTCACCGACGTCACATTCATAGATAAACACTTGTTTATACCCTGAACAGACTGTATTAACTCTGTCTGAAGCTTCTCAAGAGCATCCGTGTCAATATCCAGTAGTGCTTATGTCACGTTGTCAGCCCCTTAGAAAAGATCGTCCGAGCTAAAATCCGAGTATAGGCCCGTGACATGTCTGTGGTCGACCGGACTCGTAAACAATTAAATGCATATGAGAGTCTCCCCTTTGCAAGCGTCGAAGCCAAGTCGTTTGTATGTCAGAAAGACGATACACCCATAATGAGACAAGGAATTCCGTTTCAATGTGGCAGATAATTCAGTTCTGCAGAGTCAAGCCAATTGAATTCAAGCTCATGAACCACCGACGTTGGCACGACAAACGCTACTGTGAGAATTGTTTACGTACTCGTCCACTGTCTTTTGATACGCGATGGACCCGTGATCCAAGCTAATTCCCAGTATATGACACATAACTCGATGTGTCAATGTGAACTGAGTTTAGTTCTTCGTTTTCAGTACTTTCGAGATGTCAATCGATTTCGAGATTCTGCAGCAGGTGTGCCATTACTCGGCTGTCGACCCGAGTTTGTACAGGATCGAGAGCATGCTGGGCTTCGTAAAAGAGCTTGTGGTGCACGCAGACCCCGAGCTCTTATGGAGTGATAATTTCCGCACATGTAGATGTAATCATGCACATCGACAATTGCTTTTGTACAAGCTGTCATTTCAAGTAGTGACAACTTTCAAATTCAAGTCGCCGGCTCACTTATAATCGGTGTCATCGCCAAAACTGGTCCCAACTGTCCTGCTCTTCTGCCTCCTTCAACGCTTCGAATCGAGCGAAACACCGATGTATGTTTATGTGCTGATTGTTTCGTGTTAATGGAAATTCCATTCGGACCCAAACACGATCAGGTAAAAGATGATGAAGATCGATGGCTTGGTCAACTTCAGACACATATCAAGGAACTCAGCACGTCCAACATGGACAGGATTCGTACTTGTTTCTGAACGGCATCATCAACAACTCTCAATCTAACTTCTGTACATTGTGTTGGTCTTCGCTCAATGTACGAACAGCTCCATCGCGACCGCGTTGGCTCAGCCCGAGCACGAATACTGCACTAGAAGCAGAAACGCGTGTACCACCACCATAAAACAAAGACCAACACACTGTAGCATTGAACGACTGAAGCTCCACTTTCATATAGGACTTGTCATTCGCCTTTGCCTGAGATCTCCACTTATCGTTAAGCCTTCACTTGGACTTGGCACTTGGACTTGGACCTGAGTCTTGATCTTTTACTTGAACTTGATCACACTTTTTTGTGAGCAAATCAACCGTATTGATAGCTGACGTGAAATGGCTCCATTCGGCAGCTTGCAGCGTACGACAACGCTACAATTTTCTTCAAGTGGGTTCGGCCCCGTAAAAGATGCCAATCCGCAAATCATAAATGTTTGGGCATAAATCAATACAGGGCATTTACAAGCACTTGCGGCCCAGCCAGTAGATCTTGGGGAAGGTAATCTGTGGTTCTCAGGCGGTCGTGAGCCTTGACACGCGAAATGGAAAGAAAATGTGCCAGCTTCTTCCAGGCACGTCGACTCTCTCCGTACGCTTCAAACCTCGACCATCAAGTCGGAAATGCGTACCTTCGACCGAAAAACTAATGTCTTTCGGATGTCTCGTGTTCGACATCTTCACGATAGTGATAATTGGCACGCATTCGCTATCGTGAAGCCTATTGATCCATTTTAAGACATACCTTCGTAATATTCGTGTCGTCGAATGTGAGCTCAAAATAGTGCTACAATATTCGTCATGGTCTTGATCGAAAAGTACGCAAATCGTCTTTCCGTCGATGGGCCGCTTGGCTACGAAAAAAAACAATAGTGTGTCCTAGACGCCCTGACACGTCGTCTACGCCACATCCACCTGTTGCCAACGTAAAGTAAAGCTCGTTCGCTTCGGCGATACTCTGTCACATGCTGATAAACTTAGTCGACGCCATGCTGCCGGCCTCGGTAAAAACAGCCGAGAGATCTAAATCTGACTGGATATATACCACGTCGCCGCTCAAGTTGTTCTTGATCGCTTCCTGCAGAATAGGGCTCAATGCCACAGCGGCGTTGACCAACTGCGTGCTCACACTCATGGACACAATCTAGTTTACGGTTTGTCCCGGTGCCAAGTTTGTAAAAACGTGATTGAAGCCTGCATTGGCATCACACCGAGCGTAGTCTTGTTACACTAGATGCTAATCCCGTAATTGTTGCAGTCAACTGGTTTCAAAGTCCACGTCAAGTACTAAAAAGAGCCAGGCCCTTGCCTTATTGCGCATCCATCAAGCATCTTCTGGACTGCACCACCGCTGACTGCCACTGAAGCAAGCGAAGCAGCAGGGCGACCACAAATGTCGACCAAGCTTGCGCTAGCTGACGTTGCTGCCACAGGGTCCGGAGCAATCGAGAAGGTTCTCTAAGAGTAAGATCACCCATATCAAGCAGGTCCATGGGGTCACCAGCCTGCTGGCCAATTTGTCCATCTTCCGTCTAGTCGGAAGAGCCTTCACCCTCACGGTCGACGCTGTACTCACCATCCTAGTGGTGCTCGTGTACCTCCGGTCCCGTCGAACGCACAACAAATGCGCTGGGTAATTGTGGTAGACACTAGCAAATGCCAAGATTGTTCAGATCAGCTCGTTCAAAACTGAAAGCTCAAAGACATATGTATCATCGCTGATTAATGGCTTCTCTGCAAGCACGACAGTGTGGTCTGCTTCTGAATTGGCCGAAAGTAGGCGCCAGTATACGTACCCGCGGTCATGCATGTCGGATTGTCTAATTCCTCCGTGGCATTGTAAAGCACCTTCTGGACCATTTCTTGCGTCTCATTTGGACGCTTAAGGAACAATTTTACGGTAGCAGTGAGAAGCTACAGCTGCACCTGGGCAGTCGTATCGTCGAAAAGTCCATAAGGATTCCAAGAGCCGTCTGCACTGCCGATACGCTCAGCATACTTGCCAATAATCCAAATCATTATATACCTTCGCCTCGGGCTCGTTCGTGTATGCAGGTTTTCGCATAGGATAGCAATTATGCTTTCGTACTGGTTTATATACTTGCGAAAAGTATCCTTAATCACAACGATAGCCTCCTGCATGACGTAGTTGACCTTGGTCTGGATATGCACCAGCAGCACATGGATGCACGTCTCCGCAGCACTTTCAAGCTTGATAGCGCATCAACCAATTGCACGTACCGAACAGCGTACACATTCCACCTCAGTGGCGTATTTCCTTAAACGCAAGCAGCACCTGTTCAATGTTGCGCTCCGTGACAAGACGGATGATGCTTTCCAGCTTCTCCATTCTTTTACATAGATCGGATCGTTGTACTTGCAGAAGAACACCTTCATCTCGTTCGTCAAGATTGCTAAGCGTTTCTGCACAATCAGGTTGATAATACGCCGAGCCACGTACTGGATCTCAGGCTCAGCTAACAGCAGCGTCACGAGCGGAGGGACCATTTTACGCACAAGACTGCATTCTGTATCAGCGCTCGAGACCTTCTCGAGAAAATGTCATAATGACCTTGACTGCCGAAAGCACAACGGCCGAGTGAGCATGCTGAAGACGTGGCGTCACCCGTTCAATAATCCCTTCTGCCTCATAAAAGTCGGCGGGCCAAAGTATCGAGCACAAAGACCTCTTTCCACTCATGGCACTCATTGAGTGCCGCCACTAGTTTTTGCAGCAAGGACTTGATAATCTTGAAAGCCGTGACTCCTGCATTGTAAATCTTCGGACATCGCAATTTACACGAATGCAGCCCATAAGATAGACCGATAGCACTCAGGAAACCCATAATCCAGAAGAGGAAAGTTTTCTCTCTGCTGCGTGCGCTATGAGGGCAAGCGCAGCGAGCGGTCAATCGAGACTGATCGATCTCGTGCCCGGCGCTTGTTGTGATCATTGAGCTATTATCTCCACCTCAGATTAAATCACCGATTCCACGTGCTCTTTGCAGAGTGTCCCTCGTGACGCCCGACGTCTCGAGACAGCAAATAGAGCCAGTGAGGGGATGGATGACAAAGTCCTGGAAAAAGCACTTGAGACATGTCTCCACTCCTTCATGTTTGATAAGAGACGGTCTATTGGTCTCTCATTGCATAGTTAAATCAAGTACAAACACACGAGCTTGTTCAACTGTGTATCAGCTGTTTATAGCCAGTTTCTACCATTGATTTGTCAACAGTATTACAACCGTCTTTTCCTACGGTCGTAAACTTAACCCTGTCTAAACTAATATTTCAAAAATTACTTGATTTTATCAAATAACGGATGCCATCGGCTACGTCAGTTATACACCAATCAATGGGGGACGTACTCCAGACTAAAGATTTTTAGCAGATTAGACAGGTTATTAGTTAAAACAGTATCATGTAAGACATGTTCTACTGTAGTAGTTCCTTACTGCGTCTTTCTTCACGACTTGAATTGGCTAATTTTCGTTGCAACTCATTATGCAAACTCGAAGGTAACCGGCACCTTTTTGCTAACCATCCCACACTCATATTTAATTGGTTTGCAGTCTGTCTACAGATTCCTGAGTACTTCCACATAAAAATGTGTCCTGTTTAGGTATACCCCCCCCCCCCCAGCTACTCATTTGTCATTGCTAATTATGTGTCATCATTGAATCAACACTGTTATAACAGATGGATGAATATGTTTTGGAAATGTAATGCACACCTGCTCGCGCACAACAAGGAGCAACGACGACGAATGTGACAATCGCATAAGCATAGTATTGCCTGACCCATTTTTACGCACGCCCATCTTGAGTGTGTGCGTTGATAACAATGGGACAAGGAGAGAAAGGTGTACAAATCATGACAAAGACCCGCTTCCATTCAACGGAGGTTAAACATTTCGTCTTGTTGTACTAATACATGTGTTAGTACAAGTGGGAAACGTCAAAGTTTTACCCTTTTCTACTTAAAAAAAAAGGCTGCAGAGCACCAGCTTTGACACAGGTATGCAGTCTATTCCCTGGTGTGCGCTGACTCTTTAAGTCGCTTCCATTCAGTGTACATACGACTTGCTGTTTATTTCGCTTTTAACAACTTTTGATTCAATTACCGCTCATTTTGCAATTCAACCTGCAGCCCTTACCTTCAGCCGATCATGCGAGTCCACGTTCAATTGTTCCTTGCAGCAGTTGCAATCACGCATACTATCAAAGCCGAGCCAACAACTTTCGTCGGTGTGAGCAAGAATAATTCATCTACCGAGTCAAGCTCTACTGCGGCTAAGACGACAACTTTCGCCACTGGGAGTCCGACTAAACCCTCTGAAGAGTCAATTAATACTGCGGGTAGAGACGACGGCGAAAGGATGTTCGAGAGGTTGAGCGAAATGGTCGAAAAAGCAAAGGATGCAGTACGTTCCAAGCTAGGCAATGTCGTTGCGAAAACCGACATTGTACAACCTGAGGGGTATGAGACGTTTTCGGAAGTGGCCACAAAGCATCAAAAAGATTCAGTCTCAGCGTTTGCTGAATTAAAGAAAAAATTTGGTGAAAAAAATATTGCGCAACTCATCGTACATGCCCAGACGAAATCAGTACATAACGGCGCCGTTTTGGGATTGAAGGAAGCACAAATGGAGTATTGGCTGAAGAATAAGATATCTAGTCATGATGCATTCGGGCTGCTAGGATTAAATGAGGTTAAAGATGGCCTTGCTAGTCCTCTCTTTGATTATTGGATTACATACGTGAGAAGGCTCAACAAGGATAACACTGGGGAAAGTAAGATTGTCTTCGACATTTTGATGGCCGAGTATGGCGATGTAGCCTTGGCGCGCCTAATAGTCAATGCGAAGACGGGTTCAACACCTAAAATTGATGTTTTGGGACTGGAGGAAGCACAAATGGATTATTGGCTGAACAATAAGATATCGGCTTATGATGTGTTCGTGCTGCTGAAACTGAACAAGGCTGACGATAACCTGCTTACTCATCCTCTCTTTCCTTATTGGAGTACATACGTGAAAAGGGTTAGTGCGAAATACCATCAGAAAAAGTTGAGTGTCGTCGACATTTTGACGCCTAAGTATTACAGTGATGTAGACTTGGCGCGCCTAATAGTAGCTGCGAAGAAGGGCTCAACGCCTAATGATGCTGTTTTGGAATTGGAGAAAGCACAAATGGAGTATTGGCTGAACAATAAGATATCTAGTCATGATGCATTCGGGCTGCTGAAACTGAACAAGGCTGAAGATGGCCTTGCTAGTCCTCTCTTTTCTTATTGGATCACATACGTGAAAAGGTTCAACAAGGGTAATGCTGGGGAAAGTAAGATTGTCTTCGACATTTTGATGTCCGAGTTTGGCGATGTAGCCTTGGCGCGCCTAATAGTAGCTGCGAAGAAGGGTTCAACACCTAACATTGCTGTTTTGAGATTGGAGAAGGCACAAATGAAGTATTGGCTGAAGGAGAAGATGATATCGGCTTATGATGTGTTCGTGCTGCTGAAACTGAACAAGGCTGACGAAAACCTGCTTACTAATCCTCTCTTTCCTTATTGGAGTAGATACGTGAAAAGGTTCAACAAGGATAACGCTGGAGTAAGAAAGAGTGTCCTCTACATTTTGATGCTCAAGTACGGCAATGAAGACTTAGCGCGCCTAATAGTAGCTGCGAAGAAGGGTTCAACACCTAATATTGATGTTTTGGGACTGGAGAAAGCACAAATGGATTATTGGCTGAACAATAAGATATCGGCTTATGATGTGTTCGTGCTGCTGAAACTGAACAAGGCTGACGATAACCTGCTTACTCATCCTCTCTTTCCTTATTGGAGTACATACGTGAAAAGGGTTAGTGCGAAATACCATCAGAAAAAGTTGAGTGTCGTCGACATTTTGACGCCTAAGTATTACAGTGATGTAGACTTGGCGCGCCTAATAGTAGCTGCGAAGAAGGGCTCAACGCCTAATGATGCTGTTTTGGAATTGGAGAAAGCACAAATGGAGTATTGGCTGAACAATAAGATATCTAGTCATGATGCATTCGGGCTGCTGAAACTGAACAAGGCTGAAGATGGCCTTGCTAGTCCTCTCTTTTCTTATTGGATTACATACGTGAAAAGGTTCAACAAGGGTAATGCTGGGGAAAGTAAGATTGTCTTCGACGTTTTGATGTCCGAGTTTGGCGATGTAGCCTTGGCGCGCCTAATAGTCAATGCGAAGAAGAACAAGGAGAACGAAGAGATTAACAAAAATGCTGTAGCATTGGGGGAAGAGCAACTCAAGTATTGGCTGAGAAAGGGTGAATCTATTGATGAAGTGTTCGAGATGCTGAGACTACATACAGTTGAGGATAGCGTGCTTACTAATCCAGTCTTTAATCAATGGTACTCCTACTTTGAGATGGTCAATAAGAAACATGGCAACAAGGAATCGGTCATCGACTTCTTGAGCAGTAAGAAGGGAACGAGCTTTGAGGATTTTATGAAGGACGAGCTGGAAAAGGCAAACCTTGGAACAAAAAGCAGAGTTGATGAACTGTTCGTGGATCTGAGACTGGAAAGAGTTGGTGACGGCCTGTTTACTGATCCACTCTTTATATTTTGGCGTGCCTGCTTGGAGAAGTTCAATGGGGCACATCCCAAAAAGTCCCGAACAAGTGTTATCCAGTCGTTGCGAACCGTTTACGGTGACAAAGGATTAGCCGACCTAATTCGTGCTGAAGAAAAGGTCACAAAATCATCAGAATACGCTAGTCGTTTGGAGAACGATCTATGTGCGACCTGGCTGTCAGATGGAAAGTCATTAGATGACGTGTTTAAGTTTCTTGATCTCAACCGTGCAGACTATAAGTTGTTGGAAAACCCTTCGATGAAGACATTTGCTAAGATCACGCAATTTTTTGTCAGTATGGACAGCAAAGAACTTCCAATGACGAAGGAGGCGAGCTTCGAGGAGCACGAGATTCTTCGAGGTATAAAAATTGCATCGGGTACAGGAGGGCTGCGAACTACGACATTGGAAAAGGCTCTCTTTCGACTGTGGTTTACTCAAAAGAAACATCCAGAAGAGGTCTACAAGATGTACTTTGGTCAAGACAAATTGAGTGGAATTCTGAAAGACGAGGGCAATCTGTTTGAAATCCCTCTTTTCATCACTTTCGTCAAGTACTCGGAGGGTTATTCCAGAACCAGAAGTCTTGCAATCGATGACGATGTAAATGAGGTTGTAAGAAACCCTGAAAATAAAAAATGGGGGACTGACCCAACAAATCAGGTAAATTTCGTCGTTCGTGAGTTCAAGATGCCATTAGTGATAGAAAAAGAGTTCAAAGACAAAATGGACAAATTGGGCGAAATGATTATGTCGGTGAAAGAGTCATCGAGCAACTCCGTCAAAGCGTCATCAAGTAAGCCCATGAAAGAGTCATCGAGTAATTCTGCGCTGTTTGCTGTTAAACAAGTGGAGGATGCTTTGTTTATTTGGTGGAACCAAAGGGTAACACCAGATTTAGTTTTCAAGAAATTGCAGCTGAATACCAAGATGGCGCCTGCAGAGCTGTTCGAAAACCCTTCGTTTCGTTGGTGGATTGATTATATGGATAGTTTCTTCACACAAGCTAAGCGTACTGAGGAAACAGGGAAAACCTTGATGGAAGTATTTGAGCCTTCAACTAATCTTGTTTGGCTTAGAAATGCGCGAGAAGAAAAAACTACGAAAGAACTAGCTGACAGGGTGTGGACCAATTTGTTAAAGGAACATTTACAAGCGAATACAAGCCCAGAAAAAGTCAAGAAAAACCTGATGATACCGCCGATAGCAAATGACGACGAGGTTGATCTTCAACGATACAGTAAAGCTTTGCATAGAAGGAAAACAGAACGCTGAGTCAAAAAAGAAAGGTGACGATGAAGTGCGGAAAGTGAATGAAAAGATGCAAGAAAGAATGCAAAAAGAAGGAGCTAGAATCGTTGACTGTGTACGTGAAAAAGCTGTTTGTATTCTTTACACGCTCTCGTGTACTAATTGAATAGATTTGTGCAAAACTACATCTTCGATCTTAGCAGATCATTGTCGTTTTTACAGCTTATTCCAAGTGAACGCAGCTCCATAATTGAAAAATGACACAACAATAAACTAGCAAACGGCCACTGTCGAACACCTGTGGCCGCTGGCCCCTGCATGCCACGACCTCCTCCAAACGTTTTTCAGACACCTTTGCAAGTTAGAAAAAAACAACTCCTACACTTACCTGCTTCAGCTGGCGGGTTTACCAAGCACCGCAACTGTTTTTTCGCTCTATGGTGATTATGTTTGCCATATCTCCTTCCTCCACCCTTCACAGATATCGAAACACCGGCAAGCACCCTTGTATACCATTAACCATACAACAAAGACCAACACAATATTGCATTGACCGACTGAAGCTAAGTTTTCATATAGGACTTGCCCTTTGCCTTGAGCTGAGATCTCCACTTATCATCTAGCCTTTCGTTGGACTTGCACTTGGACTGGAATTGGCGCTTAAACCTTGGACTTGTTCATAATCGTAGACCTCCACTTACAGCAATGCATTTCCATGACAACCCTCACGCAGAACCGTATACATATCCAACTGCTGGATCCAGTCTTGCAGCTACATAATGCACTAATAACGCCCGCCTTCTCGCGCTTCGGATTTACTTGCATGTAAGACCCTCGCAACAGTACTAGTTACCAACAGAAATCCAATACGAATACGTCTTGCTCCACAATGCACTCTTAAAGTCATTCACAAATCGCCACGTATTTCGACATCGTAGTTCCCACACTCACCATCGCTATATCATTAACCAAGTATCATATCACCACACCATAAACAAATAGAACGAGCGACAATCAATAGCCGCATTCTATGTCTTCACCACCACCACAACAAAACAATCACGACTCCACGGTGTGAGGCATCACACGGCGAGCTCCAACACGCATGCCCAAGTCACACTTTAAGACGATATATTCTACCTTCACTCCATCACACAACGATCCAACTTGATCACGGTCATAATCACAATCACGACCACGACTTTATATAGCCATTCACTTCATCACACCACGCCTTGTGCCTTTCATAATAAAACGGCACCGTCACCAACATCAGCCTTAGCACAAACAGACTGCAAACTCGATATCCACCACAAAATCGCCTCCTTCACAAATGCTTGCATACAACCAACCCAAAAGTCACAACGAGACGTTGCCACTTAAATTGACGACGAAATGACATTACACCAACCAACCGAATTCATCTTCACAAGAGCTTCTCTTGTCTTGACCAATTTGTTTATCTCGTTTATTTCCTTCTCCAATATCAAGCTCCTGGCTACAGACTAGTGCTACACAAATGATAAACAACACAGCACCAAATTAGCGAACGGCTACTATCGCACATTCTTTTGCCGAATATGCAGTAGCAGCACTACAAACTTCCTCATACATTTTTCAGACATTTTTGCAATTTAGAAAAGTAGAACCCCTACACTTGCCTGCTACAGCTGGTGAGTTCATCGAGCACTGCAACTGCTTCCTTGCTCTATCGTGATTATGGTTGACACATACACAGGTCTCTTTATCTACGGACATTACGGTTATTTACGAATATGACGCCGTAAATAATATGTTTGGCGAGCCGTAAATAACCTGGTTTTAATACGTGTCATTATACTTTTTATACCAAACCAAGGTTTTATTAACTTCGCTAGGAGAGGTCGGTAGAATTCGTTCTGAAAGATTATTAACTTTGTTTTTGGAGAGGTCAGGTGTGCTCTCCAATACCCGGGGTCCCAAGAGTATCGGAAAGTCTTGCGCGAGTGGGAATCGCCGTAAATAACCTGAGATAAAAATGGCTAGAAACATGGCATTTTTAGGATTAAGAAATTGAACGGGCGAGTGAGCGAGTCCGTGAGGAATTTGTGAGAACAAAAGTTACTGGACAAAGAAATGGGGACTTAAAATTGACTTTTTTACAATGTAAACGACCCTTATCCTTCCGACTAACAGCGAAACCAAATATAGAGCCCGAGAACCCGTAACAACCCGTGGGAAAAGCTTATACACATGAAGAACAAGCGAGAGACTCCTTATCAAAATGAATATGCCTTAAAATATAGTGTTCGAGTCTCTCAGAGGAGCACCAAAAACTGCACTGTCGTCTCAGTGGAATGTCTTTCCTGTATTCACTTTAGTCGCGAGAGAAAGCCAGGTGTGGCGGAGCGGGGTTCACAAAATTTCTGATGTGACCCTGACTCTCCACTGGCGCCCGGACAACCGACTATCGGGGGGGGTTACTCCGTTTCCGTGTATAGCAATTCCTTCCTCACCTTGTGTACCCGTCGGTAGGGCGGGTAGCACTCTTCTCGGTGGACTTGAGTTGATGCTGAGCTTGACCGTGGTTGGGATTGGTATGGGGTTCGATCGCGCGTAAAAATCTTCACGCGATCGAGGGGTTACTTGTGCACTCTATATGAGTCGTCCTGATCTCTCTTGAGATCGCCTTGTCCAAAATATGTAGATACTTGATCCACTTGATACACTTGACCTTCTGACCACTTGAGCCGTCTCGCGATCTTGTGTCTTGTCCTTTACGTGATACTGCGTCCAATCGCAGGCGAAGTTTGTTCGTGAGAGATTGTGGTGAAGTGCTAATTTTGTGATATGGAGGTCCCGGACTCCAGTTGGATTTAGAGTATAGGCCGTGGGTCAGGGACAGGGGACCAGAGAGACAGGGGCCTCAAAGGGGAGCGACCGTTGGTGGAGGACAATCCGCAGGATTCGCCGAAGAAAAATCAGTATCAGGGTACCGGTTAACCGGTACCAAAGGAATTTGATCATGGCCGCTCATTGATCGACCTGGCCCCTCGTTGGTAGACCCGGGTCCCTCATCGGTCGACCTGGGTCCCTCATTGGTCGACCCGGTCCCTCGTTGGTAGACCTGGGTCCCTCATTGGTCGACCCGGTCCCTCGCTGGTCGACCTGGGTCCCTCATTGGTCGACCTGGGTCCCTCATTGGTCGACCTGGGTCCCTCATTGGTCGACCTCGGCCCCTCGGGGTTCAGCCACTCCTGACCAGTTAATACAAGGATCAGACCAGTCGACGCAAGGAATCAGAGCTTCAGGCAAGGATAGAGTAAAGGAGTTAAAAGGATAGGACTATATTAAATACTACTCAATTTGCGATCTACGTGGCACGACTCCGTCACCCAAGAAGGACTTGTTCTAAGTTACTCACTGTTCCGGGAAGGGATATATTTTGGCCCCCCCGTCGAAGACAGTTGTGTAGCGAAGTTCAAGGGCGAATAGAGCTCCAGGATATATTTGGCCTGTGAGTTCGTTCAGTAGCAACACCCCCCAAGACCCGCTATCGGAAGCGGTCTCCCTCACCTCAAGGTCCGGGAGCAACGTAAAGGTCAGGTGGTTAATACCCCTGAAACAGAAGGAAAAGGCCAGGGACGACAAGCTCCCTGAAGAATTTGTCTCTAAGTCCACTCTCGACAAGGTCGATCGAGTGGCCACCTACCGGCCCACCGAGTGAAGCATATCCACTCGAGGCCCCCCAGGTCTACCTTCCTCAAGGCAGACATCTACATCGTCACCAAGTCCTCCGAAGAGTGCAACCCGCCAGCCGACGGGTACACAAGGTGAGAGAAGGTTCATACGCGGCATCGGGGTACTCCCTCCGACAGTCGGCAGTCCGGCACAGTGAGTGGTTTGGGGTCTCATCATACAATTTTGAGAACCCACTCCATCACAATGGTGCGCGTGCCCGGATCTTCGGAAGACGCGGGATTTCACCGCGAGTCCCAAGACGATAAAGATGTTCAAGTCAAGAAGGAGCACAAGACCGAAGAGTCACTGGAAGACCGATCGCCAGTGACTCAAGGAGAAACACACAAAGGATCGAAGGACCGACCGGGCCTTGGGAGGGGCCCGGTCAACATGGTCGAGGTTATATTCATTTAAGAAAAACCTAAATACCCTCCCTATGTCCTCGTTGAGGACACCTTGGGTCATGACGCCTATCATGATCCAGAGGACCATCAGCCGACGGTGAAAACCGAGAGGCTAAGGTCCCCAAAAAACAACACAACAATATCGCGCAATCCAAGCCGACGAAGTTCCGGATGAAGGCACCCGGAAACACCAAGTCGATAGGCCCCGAGAAGGCAGGACTTGCGTCATGGACAGACGCTGATGTCACGAGGGCCTACAACCAACGCAAGCTGAACGCGTTCCTGGAGAGCGACCCCGTCGCGAAGATCCTGGAGATCCGGCAGCTGGGTCAACTCACTGGGCCGGTGTCGACCCTGCCACGGCTGCACTCCGTCACGGACGCGATCACAGCGCTGGTCACCATGCTTCGTGAAGCGAACATGGTCGCAGGTCGGTTCGACCCGGACGATCTGCTATCCCTGGGATTCGACAGAATCACAACAACGTTAGAGCATATGCACAAGCGTCTGTCGATCCTGGTGGGTACCACACCAGCAACGGATTACCCACCTCTGGTGACACCTACACACATGCGGTCCAACGACAGCCAGATGACGCTTCAAGACATCACGGTGGGTACCCACATGTACGGAGCCGCCGGCCACCCAGGGGCGAATCAAGACCCATCTCAACACCGGATGCCAAGCGGCCAGAGGGAAGCAGCACCGTGGTCCCCAGGATCGTCCTCAACTGGGTCGGTCACTAGGATGCCCCTAGGCCCTACTGGAGCGGCGCTGCTCCAGGCCCGAGCGCGCAGCGCGGAGCAGGAACCACGGGGTCTCGGAATGGCGACGCGTGGCAAGAATGAAAATCATTCCGGTTTTCAACCAATGGGAAATCAGCACGAGAAAAAGTTGGAA